AAATGACCCCCAAACACCCCGATGATGGCCGTGTTGAATACAGATCTCAACCGGAGGGGTTCCCAAATATTTTCAATTGTCTCCTAAAAGTCCATTCCAAATATCTTCCAAGCTCCACCAAAATCCCAAAAATTCCAAAAATATTTAAAATGAAATAAATCCATCAAAACTAAAAAGCAAAATCCATCCGCCCCGCCAACAGTTTGTCGAGGCGGACAAATTGAAATTTACTCAAGCTCACAAAGAGACCAAATGGCCTAGTCGAAAATATCACTAGGATCCATTCTCAACAATATATTGCCAGTAAGGACGTGGTACTAGTCCTCTACCGCAGTTTCGCCGCCAAATGGCACTCAGGTAAACGGTTATGACCCGGGCCCTCTGAACCGAGTGGTTTCGCCGCCAAATGGCACCACAGATAACGGTTATGGCCAGAGCCGATACGCTCCTTAATGGCGTTAAATCCTTGAGATATGAATCAATAGGATATGATCGATAGGGCACAAAGCCTCTGTTAGCTAAGGTGGATTCAAATTGTCCCCTTAGACAAACATCACCCCCGGTCTACAAGGTACCCTTGGACGAAGCAACCATGGCTGCCGACAAGGATCCTTCTGTCAGGTTGGGTCGACTACCTCCTCTGACTAAGTAGACCAGGTCCATGATGCCCGGACGACGGAACCATGGGATCTTGATCGGGCCATCATCCATTCCCCCACCATCCGCTTTAAGTGAACGATGGTGAAATTTCTATTTTAAATATAAAATTTTCCCAAATATCTCAATCCAAATCTTCAAATCTTCCAAACCAAATTCTATAAATTCCAAATCCAAAAACCCAATTCCCAATTCCTAAATCCAATCATTGCTGCTACTATATGCCAATAACACATATTTATACGTATCTGATCGACGACTAGCCCTAATCGAAAGTCTCTCTCGTGATCGGGAGGGTAATAACTATAGGGGCTTGCCCTATAGGAAACCAAACTCAATCATAAAGTCCTCACAAAATGAGGGCGAAATCTCTGGGTAAGTGTCCTTATCTACAAACCCATCTGCCTTCCAAAATTTACCCCGAACTTAGTTCGTTAAAACTCCCTCGCGAATAAGAAGAGAGAGCGGAGGCGGGACGAATTTTCGGAGGCCCACATCCTATGAATGTTTCATGCAAATAATGCATATGATTAATTGATATGATGCATTTTGTTGATGATGTAAAATATCACGTACTTCTTAGTCTATACACTGCTAACACTAAGAGCAAGAGATGATGAAGAAAATTTAAAATTGTTATTATAATATTTATTTTTTTAATAATGACAAATAAACTACCACAAATATGATGGTGTCTATTATATTGATGGAAACCTCATTAAAGAAATTAACCTAAATGTCTTAAAGATTGTGCATGATGAATTTATGTACCTTTGAATTTGGCATATAAGGTAAATTTTTAAAACATTAAAAATTGCATAATCAAATTGCTTAATTGTTCAATAAACTTTAAACAAACATGATTGCACAATTTCACAATCACTAGTAGATTCATATAAATTCAAGTTACATTTATCATTGATGTCATGCTCAATTTAGTTTTTGAAGCATGACATTAAGTTATTGGAAGCATGACATCAATGATAAATGTAAACTTGAATTATATATGAATCTACTAGTGATTGTGAAATTGTGCAAATCATGTTTGTTAAAGTTATTGAACCAATTAAGCATTTGATTTATATATATATATATATATATTTATATTATATATAAATATTATATATTATATATAGATATATATATATATATATATATTATATTTTAACAAATTCAGGTCTATGGGAATCTAATATATTGTAACTTTCAAGGAAATAGTCTAAGTCATCTATCCATTTTGAAATTCCCTGAGATTATTCCTCTCGTCAAATGTGGAAATAAAAATTTAAACCTCATAATATTATGTTTATTTATCTAGCATCATAGCTTAATGATTTTATTTAATTTGTTTATTTTTATCTTTTATTGTGTTTGCTTAATTAGCCCATATATTTAATCTCACGTCTCAAAAATATTATGATGCAACCTTAAGTTTTGATACAAAACTGATTTGGATGTTTGCATATTTTCCAACAAACCTTTAAGAAGTTAAAACAGTAAAACTTTTGTGAAAGTTAAATACTAGCTAAGAGACTAATATTTTCATTATGGCTTAAATACCTTAACGCTCATTCTCTTCCCAACTCAAGCAATAAGTTTTCTTAATGGCAATTGCTTAAGTGGTTGTTCACAAATCACACTTACCATATTAAATGAACCATTATTTTTGAAGATTTTGATATTCTGATGATATTTCGGAGTTACTATAATCACTCATCTATGATATGATGCAAAAAAATCAATGATTAATTTGATTTGTTGATATAATCGTCTAAAAATAGTTAGGTAAATAAATTACATTTAAAATTGTGTTAACAATACTTTTGATGAACTAAAACATAAAGTGGCCTTATGTGCCTTCACATGTCAGAAGTACCACAACATTTGCACATGTAATAATGGTGAGTATTTGGAGTCGGGAATGTGGAGTCCTATTCATTTACTAGGGGGCAATATGGCTATATGAGGTTAAAAAAGTGACTAGCTTCGTATATATGCAAAGTTAAGTCATAGATCAAGTATTGTGCTAGAGCCATGGCTAGGTTGCTACCATTGTGATGCAAAGTCACTAATTCAAAAAAAAAACCCTCTTCATTGTATGGGTATTATTCTCTCCTCAAACCTCGCATTGGTAGGAGCCTTATACATTGGGTACACCTTTTATGCTATATTAGGATACATAATATTTTGTGGATTGAGAATTATGTAGGTTTGAAGTATACAATATAAAGCCAAACATTATGTATTGCTTTGTGGTACTTATTGCAACATCAACATCAACATTATTATAATCCTTATAAGCAAATCGAGCAAATATATGCTTGCACTGGTTTTGCATGGGTATTTTTCTTGTAAGCATTTTTTTTTCAAGTGTCAACAATATTAAATCTATTGCATTTATGAAGTCATCTTAGGTGCCCTATTTGCATGGCCTAATTAATCTTAATTAAGTAGAGTGACTTGAATCCATGGAGAAATGTATTTATGTAGCTTGAGATATCTGACTTTCATTGTTGAATCAACGACAATCCATAGGAATAACCCAAGTATGTGGAAATTTTCAATACGATCAAGTTCAAGGGAGATCTTACCTTCGATGGATGTTGGGTCATGAGTTGTGTTGACTTTACTTATGTAAGTTAGAATAAAATTAAATTGTTCGGTTCAGTTTTGATTTTGTTTTTTATTCAGATTGAAAAACTAAAATGCTATGATTTTGACTTTGTTTGGTTTTATTTGAATTAGCTTATTGCTTGGTTTTGTTCAGTTTTATTTGATTTCACTTGCATTAGTAGTAAACATGGTGATTTGTATGGTAAAAAAATTTAGGAATAACCCTTTAGATTTTGATTAGGTGGCTCAAGATTATCTTGTACTCACATAATGCAACTTGATTTGTTTTTTTTTTTCTTTCAGCTTGCCAAAACTTAAAAGATAAACCAAACCAAAAGTATCTATTTATGCAATTTCTTCAGTTAAAACCAAACAAAGCGCAAGCTTAATAGAGCAAAACTACCAGTATTTATTTTTAAATTTTGTTTGATTTTTTTGCTAGAGCAAATTTTTTGGCCACCCCCATATGTGGGTGCATAAAAATCAGACTACCATACAACTGGGATAAAAAGTATATTAAAAGATTTGTTTGCATGCTTTATGAGGTGACTTACAAGTCGAATTATGAAAATGCTATTTCATCTTGGCATAGGCCAAATTGGCCTCAAAATAAGCAAATTTTGCCTTTTAGTGAATCTACATTAACCTCAAAAGATGTGATATAACAGAAAGAAATGATGTTTCATGATTAGATGTCTTTTCTCTGCTTGTCTCGGCTTAGTGGATTCCAGAAAGATCATATATATAATGCAACCATATTTCTCTATTGACAACTACAAGTTCATAAATCTATGCAAGTTGACTATTTTAGGTGTTTATTTTATTTTAGTTTTGTTATATGGTCTTAAGTGCTTTTTTAGGTTTATTTTACTCGTCCATAAGTCTAGGTTCATGCTTGTCTTTTTAACTCGAGTATCCTTGATAGTAGTTCATGCAACACACCTATGGCGTGAGGATACGATCCAAGTTGCACAAGTTTGCCTGAAATTTTGATAGCCCTTCAATGCTAATCTGTTGAGGGGTTATCAAGAAGGGTACAGGGCCTACCCACCATGCTTTCAAAATGTGTATTGGGCGGTGCATAAGACAATAGTGGCTACAAAATAAAATTAACAATGCTATCAAAAGCGTGTACAAGTGGCGAATGGTGCAACCCAGCTAAATCAAAAACTTTCCCACCATGCCGCCAAAAGCTATATGGGTCTTCTTAGCATGCTACATAGTTAACAAAATAGCATTATATTGGATAGAAAAAGATTAAGATTATCCCCACCACGTCCCTAAGGGCATGTAAGAGTCTTCATATATTCTACCCGCAAGAAAGTAGGCCTGTATGTGATCATTGTCCCCCATCATAACCCTAAAGGCGTGTGTGACACCCGCTTTTGAAACTATAGATTGGTTCAACTAGCCCAAATTAAGTGCACTTCAGTGCCAAGATGTGGAACCAAAGTAGATGACAAAACATGAGTTGTTTAGGTTCTGTCCTCCCTTCTCAGTTCTTTTCTAGTAAGCCTTTGTAATTGTACGCATTTGCACCTTTTTGTTTATCATTACAAATCAATTAAGGCAGGGATTCCTTTAGCGTTATCTGTCAAACTATTCGCGGTGGTAAACGTATCATAATTTCTCGTCAAACTTGGTTTCATTATGTTCATTTCTGAACATAATATGCTTATGATCAACTAAAACGTTGAATTCTAGCTTTTCTGACATTTTGAAAACTTTAGGAAGCATTAAGGGCCCTCTGGTATGTAGCATTTCCTGAAGTTGAACTACGTGGTTTAATAACTGAACAATGGAAGGAAATGGGTTGGCAAGGAAAAGACCCATCTACAGATTTCAGGTATTCTGATGTACTTATCGTCTTGCAAGCTTGGTTCTTAATCAACTTTATTTTATCAAGGTAATACATCTCATGATAATGATTGCAGAGGTGGAGGATTCATATCATTGGAAAATCTGCTCTTCTTTGCGAGGACTTTTCCCGTAAGTTCAAGTACCATTATAGTTTTAAATGGTAGAATGAGGTGTAATCCCTATATTTCTTGTAGGTTTCTCGTTTGATCAGAATGCCTATTTATAGTTTTCTAAGGTAACTTCAACTTATGGAGCTTTTGTTGCATCTTCATTGAACCTCTTTGGTTTGTTTTGCTAAATTATAATCAAAATCAGAGAAATCCAATGATTAACATGTTTAAGCATTGATCTGCACAACATACTGGTAAACACAGCTTGTCGTTAGTCTCATTAAGAATCTTGATGATGCTTTCACTGAGGATCCTTTTCTCATTACGTTCAGCTTAGCTCAACCGGAGTCAACTTGTAAAGACCTTATGAAGTGACATGTTTGACCTTTAACATACCAGCTGTTCAGATACTGAACATGCAAACATATATGTACTCGTTTAAACCCATGCATAATATGCTTAGAAGGAATAAAGCTTATTTGCTTCCTTACATGAAGTGCGTTTCAACCATTTAACCAATCACTTTATAGCCTATAAGCAATATTGGCTCTCTAAGGGGCCGCTTGGGATCACTTTTATTTATTATTATTATTATTATTTTAATATTTATTTTTTTTATTTCTATGCTTTGACATAAAATAAAATATATATGTTATCCTAAAATTATGTTATTTTTTATTTTTATTTTAATATCCTTAAATTTATTTTATTGTTTTAATACATTGTGTTAATGCTAGGGATTTCCCTGAAAACGATGTGTTTTATAGCTTGAATACAATGAAAAGTGTGCAAAAGCCGCTGCACTAGAGTTCGGGTGGAGTGTTAAATAAGCGAATGTTTGACATCAGGGGTGGATGTGGGAAAAGAAGCTAGTATATGAAACTAGAATTAGGATATGTACTTGAAATTTAGGTTCTCTTATAAGCAAATAAATGAATTAATAGATATTATGATTTATAGGAAGATAAATATTCTATGTATTCAAGAACTAAATGGGTTGGAGAAAAAGCTAAGGAGATTGATAGCTTAGGATTTAAAATATGGTATGTAGGCAGGAGTCATTCCAAAAATGGTGTAGGTGTGATTATGGATAAGAGTTTGAAGGATAATGTTATAGAAATAAGAGAATTGGAGATAGAATCATAGCTTTAAAGATTATTATTAATGTTATAATTATTAATATTATAAGTGCTTATGTTCTTCAAGTAGATTTTTATATGTGTTCAAAATTAAAATTTTGGAATGATTTTGAAGAATTAACACAAGTGATGCCTCTTGAAGAAAATTTTTTTATTGGATGAGTGGTAGGACCATATTAGATTTTGTTTTAGCCTATAATTTTGTAATTTTTAATACTTTATTTAAGAGAAGATAGAGATATTTCATGCTTATAAGAATGGACATAATAAAACTCAGATTAATTATTTTCTTACAAGAAAAATAGATCAGCTAGATTGTCAAGATTATAAACTCATTCCAAGTGAAGGTTTATAAACTCAATATTGCTTATTAATTTTAGACTTTAAGATGAAGGGGTGGAATATGAAAAGTAAAATAAAATGTTGTCCTAGGATTAGATGGACATATTTAAAGAATAATAATAAAAATATTTTTGAGAGTAAGATTTAAGATCTCAAGATTTGGGTTCTTCAAAAGAAAGCTAATATTGTATGGAAAAAATTAGTCCATGATATTAAGAAAGCTGTAAAGTATGTGCTTGAAAAATCAAAAGAAAAAACTCCTAGTAGTAAAAATAGTTGATGATAGAATTAAAATGTGCAAGAAAAGATAAAAAAATAAGAAATTTGTCTGTAAAAAATAGTTTAGATGTAAAAGCTCGAAAAATTAGGATAAATATATAGAGGCTTGTATGGACTCTAAGAAAACAATATGTGATGTAAAGAATTTAGTTTTTATTAATTTATATAATATATTAGATACTAAGGAGGGCGAAAGGTGTATTTATAAGTTAGTCAAGCAAAGAGAGAGGAGAAATAAGGATTTAGTACATGTGAAATGCATTACGGATGAAGATTAAAAAAAAAACTTTTCTTAGAATCGGATATTCAACATAGGTGGATGAGATATATCGATAAGTTTTTTTAATGAAGATTCTGATAATATGAATTGACTTTAGCACTCTAAATAAAAATAAATATTTTCTATTTTTATCGTCAGATTAGTAAACCTGAAGTTGGAGAGGTTTTAAAGAAAATGTAGTATGAAAAAATTGTGTGACCTAATAATATTCCAATAGAGGTATGCAAATGCTTAGGAGATTAATGAATTTATTGGCTTATTAAACTTTTCAATATTATTTTGAAAACTAAAAAGATATCAGATAAGTGGAGTTGTGTGTTGGTTTTTATTTTTAAGAATTAAGGTGATGTATAAGAATAAGATTGACTTTAGTGACCTTGACAACTTAAATGAAAATGAATATTTTTATTTTTATCGTCATATTATAAAACCGAAATTAGATAGGCATTAAAGAAAATGAGTATTAAAAAGTGGTGAGACCTAATGATTTTCTAATAGAGGTGTGGAAATGGTTAGGAGATTAAGGAATTTCTTTGCTTACTAAACTTTTTAATATTATTTTGAAGACTAAAAAGATATTATATGAGTGGAGAAGGGGTGTATTGGTTCCTATTTTTAAGAATAAAGGTGGTGTGCAAGAGTGTGTGAATTATAGGGGAATTAAGTTAATGTGTTAGAGATTAAAATTATAAGAGAGAGTAATCTAGCATAAATTACAACGTGATATTGATGTTTCTCAATATCAGTTTGAATTTATGGCGGGTCGGTCTACTATGGAAGCTATATATTTTGTTAAGAGGTTTGATGGAGAAGTATAGAGAGAGTAACGAGGAATTGCGTATGATATTTATTGATTTAGAAAAGGTATATGATAAAGTTTAAAGAGAAGTGTTTTGGAGAGTTCTAGAAAAGAATGGGGTTAAATATGCTTATACTCAAGTCATTAAGAATATGTATGTTGTTGTTGTTGTTACTTGTGTTCAAACACAAGGTGATTTGACCAAGTATTTTCCTATTTCAAATGGATTACATCAAGGATCAGCTTTATGTCCATATGTTTTTTTCTTTAGTCATGGATGTTCCTACTAGACATTTGCAAGTTTATGTACCTTGGTATATTGTTTTTTTGCTAATGATATTCTTGTTGTTGATAATATTAGAGATGGAGTACAAGGAAAGCTTGAATTATGGAGGTCAGCTTTAGAGTCGTGGTGGAATTGTTATAGTGTGTGATTAAGTTATTAAAAAGAGTGCACGTTTTAGATATCTCGGATTCTCGGGTCTATTATTCAAAACGAGGGTGAACTAGATGAGGGTATTATTACTTTATTAGTAGAATTCAAGTTGGATGGTTTAAGTGGAGGAATGCATCAGGCCTGTTGTGTGATAGAAAAGTACCCCTCAAACTTACGGTAAAATTTATAAGATGGTGGTGAGACCTGAAATTCCTTATTGCGCAGAATGTTGACCCTTAAAAGAGAATCATAAAATTAAGTTAAGCATTTTAGGGATGAGGATCCTCAGGTGGATGAGTGGCTTTTCACTTTAGAGATAAAATGCAAAACGAGTATATACATGAAAAGGTTAGAGTAGCTCCAGAGGCAGATAAGATTAGAGAGAGTTGTCTTAGATGATTTGGTCACATAAAGCGTCCGTCTTTCAATGATCTAGATAGAAGAGTAGATGTATTGGATCTAGCCTATGTTAAAAAAGATAGAGGTAGGCCTAAAAGATTTACTTATAAATTATTAGAAATGATTTTTTTTTATTGGATTTAAATGAGAATTTGACTCTGGAGAAAAATTATTCATCTTCCCGACCCCATGTAGCGGGATAAAGGCTTAATGTTGTTGTATCGAATAATTCGAGATGTGATATTGGTGGTGGTCAATGACGGTGGGCGACGAGGCAATGATGGTGACAATAGTTGTTGGTGATGATAAGCAGCCTGTGATCATAGTTTGATTTTAAAAACATTCAAAAAACCTTAATATTGTTTTGAGCATTTTGAAAAATAAATTTTGTTTTGAAAACGTAAAATAAAAATAGTTAAAAAGCACACTAAACATCTATGATTTTAAAAAAATAAAAAAAACAAGAATAATCCCAAGCATTCGCCCCCCACCCCCCTTAAAAAAAAGCTTCAACCGTTTTATTTTTTTTCAAAATTCAGATCATGAGAGGATGAAATTGTACTTCTTATGACATTCTAGAATAACCCAGATGTTGAATAAGAGAGCCATAAGTTTAGGCGTAGTGCCTGACACAAACTGATTTGCAGATTTGTCTTCCTCAGCCAGTCGACTATAAGATAGTCATTGATGTGATATTCCTATTCAGTAGCATGTCGAGGGCATTTATGATTTAAAATAGCTCTCATGTTTCCACTACCCATGTTTTGTAAGAGGTTGCAAATTTAGTGTTTATTTTGAAAGTTTATTACAACCAACCAGTCCAACCTACGTAGTTGTACCTTTTTCTTAATTTTGTTAATTTTGATTATTATCAAACTTTTGTAATATTTTATGAATATGAATTTATAAATACGGATCTTTAATCTAATAATTTGCCGTGGAAATGTATGCCATTCATTTTTTTGAGAGGTGGGGAATATAAATTTAAAGATCTTGAACTATTTGGTGAATTTTTGCTTTCAATGGAAAAACTTATATGTAGAGGCTCTAGTGCAATCTGCTAAATTACTAGTCACTTCTCGAAACTTGCAATAGATTGTCTTCGGAATCCATTTTGTTCTCTCAACTTGGTGAGAGAAAACCAACAGCGCAAGCTTCTAAAATTTTTTATATATAAAGATTCATTTTAATTCTTGAGATCAAACATCAGAAACATTTCCACAATTCCTTAATGCGCAGAAGGCCAAGGGATTGCTGAATTTCATTATTTATCTCAAGTATCATTTCTCTGTTTCCAAGTCAAATTGGAGGGCTAGCAGTTTTGAAACATAGACTTGGTGTGACTTTGGCGGGCATTCACAGCCCCAAATTTGGTATTAGTATATATTTATTTTATCATATACTAAGTCTCCGTGACTTACTGTAAATGATTCAATTGTCTATTTTTTTCTCGAGTAATGCCTCAATTGTCATTATTTTGCATGTTAAAGTTAGTAATTCGATGATCTTTCTTTTCATCGAAGAGCATTAATTTAATAAACTCTTCCACTCAGAAATCCTTCCATGATCTTCTTCAAAAGCGTGTGGGTGACAGATCCTTGTGGGAGTATCCATTTGCTGTTGCGGGTGTGAATATAACATTCATGCTAATACAAATGCTTGACCTCCGAGCTGGTTTGTGCTCCTTAGAACCATCCATTCCTTAATAATACGATTTTTTTCCCCCAGTTAATCTCTCAATTTCCTAAATTAATTAGTTATAGGTTAAAATCTTTTTTTGTGCACAAATTGAGTGGAAGAGGCAAAAAATAACCATTTCAAGCTGTTTTCCTAGTTTATTGTTGTCTTTATGTGCATCACTTATGTCTTAGTTTTGTAACTTGTAGCAAAGCCAAGGACCATGATGGGAGCTCTTTTCTTAAAGATACTTGCAGGTATATAATTTTTTTCTCCCTGTTTGATACTGTTCCATGCTAGTCATCATTATGATCATTAGTATTATTCTTACTTAGATTATAAGCAATAAAAGATAACAATTTGAACAAACTTTTCTCAGATTTGAACTTGAATTTAAATCCTGGTTTATTTTATGTCATATTAATTTGAGATGATATTTTGACATTTCTACTCTTCACTCAAATTTATGGCAACAAATCTTGATCTCATCTATGATTGTTATTCTCTTAAGTTGAGCAATCTAAGTTATCAAAGATCTGAAGGGTTGCATCTTATAATCTCAGTAAGGCTGAATGACATCGGAATTTAACACTTGTGAAAGAATTTGAAATACATTTGTTCTTCCTTGAAGGGAATCCACTAATTGTGAAGGTGCATATGTCATTAGATCTGCACCCCAAAATGACTATCTTCTCACTTGAAAACTTATGGCCTCTGATTGGCTTACAGCAGATAGAATGACAGCCAATCAGACGTTCAAGCCAAGAGAAAAACAAAATTACTTAAAAGAAATATTATTGAAACATTTTGTTTTACATGCCTTAATCATTCTTCTTTATAATCATAAAACGACATCCATAATTCTGAAAATTATTTTGTTTTTCTCTCTGGGGGCTGAACTAGTAAAGAAAAACCGTGTATCTACATATATAATCCATAGAGGTATAGAAGCTAATCCTGAAAAAATGTATCGTACTGTACGATATAATTAGCAAGAGGGATGAGCATGAAAAGATCGGGAGATGACCCTGAAATATTGTGAGGCTCTAATATTTCAATAATATTATTGAACTACCTGTTTCTCTATATAATCGCAAGTCACGACTACAGAACTAGATCCCTGAAGAGTTAACTATAGATAACCTAGTCAAAGCCGCAGACTTATAGAATCCTGTGACGAGAGAAACAATAATCCCCTGAGATTTAGGATTAAAATGCCGTAACAATGTCAAAACCAAAGCAACAATGAAGTACAAGACTAGGTCATAGCTCAAGTGCTAATTACGGTCCAAGCCTTTAAACTCGGAATGTCGATCTGCATTACTATTGCTGTTCCCAGTCCTACATGATTAACTCTTCCACCCTTTTTCTTTCATATTTCCTACTACTTATTTTGTACGAGTGTTACTTCCGCAATCTCTATATTATAATTATTTCTCTTTAACATGACCATTTTGGCTATTTAACTTGATTAGATATAACTTAGTTATTTCCAACACAGAGATCCATAAAGTTATAATTGCAGTGGATAAAAGTTTGTATTTAAGTTGATATCTCTTACCTCATAATTCTAAGGCATTTCTGATTTTTCCACAGAAGACGAGCGAACCTTTGATCTTCTATATTGCATTACTTTCAAGCTGATGGATCATCAATGGCTTACCATGAATGCTTCCTACATGGACTTCAATGTAAGTAAAAAAGAAAATGTTCCGTTCTGTAGACTCATTGTACTGCATTATGAAGAAAATTTATCCCTGAATAAAGAATAGCTTCTCCCCGAATAAAAAATTTCTTCCCTATTTCAAGTTGTCTAGAGTCGAAACAAATTAATTATAATTTAGAATCAATTAGAATGCAAGTGATTATCAATCTGGCTTTGATATTTTAATCTGATATGTAGGCGGTGATGAAAGCCACAAGGCGTCAGTTGGAGCGCGAGTTTCTGCTTGAAGACATACAGCGTTTGGAAGACATGCCATCATTTAGGCTTCTTCTTCGGTAATTATTATTCTGATACAGCTGACTTTTCAGGCCTCCACTTAATATTTACTTTCCTCGAGCATTCTTGCTTGATTTGATCGAGTCTGGCATGCTCAGGGAAATTATCAAGTGATGTATAAAGCGAATGATTGTTTTGTTTGAGGGATTATTGTTCAAAGTATTATAAGAATTATAGTTTGATTAAAAATTGATGTGCTATTGATATGAGTGATTAGATAATTAGAATAATTATTTTTTTTTATTTATAGAATGCTTTTAATTTCAAGTTGCTTTTCATTTTTATTATGCTGCTAAAATTTTTCTTATTATAGTTAAATTAAATGTCTTCAAATTACTTCTACTATTCATAAAATTAAAAAACAGTGAGCAGAAGGCACTATCAGATGAACTCTTAGTGTGGTGTAATGGTGTTGTAAGCTAAAAGGTTAAATCATGTAACTGAATATTATAAAAAATCCCTTCTTTTTCTCCATTGATATAGATGCGATTACAAATTTGATCTACTATTTCCGATCTGTAAAAAAATAGTGAGAAATATGAGAAATTATTCTGTGCGGAGATTGGGCGCAGTGTTGTCCGGACTAATCAGAATGCACCGCATCAGTAATATTGAGCCGTGGTATCGAGCAAGAGGTGATTTGGTGCATTTTGGTTGGTCTTCGGATGGCATTCGACGTCCACATATAATAATTAATTGAGGAATAATAAAGAGTGATGAGTATCAAGGTCGGGGAAATGATGGAATAATAAAAAGTGATGGTTACACAGCTCACATTGGCTTGTTGGTTGAGAGCTTATGCTTTCAACTAAGAGGTTTTGGGTTCGAGTCTTTGTGTATGCGTTGTGTGTGTGAGTTTACCTTAAATGGCCTAAATGTATCAAAAAAAAAAAAGTGATGGCTGTCAGTGGTAGAACTGATGTCAAATATAGGTTGATGATTATCGGTGTTAGTTTATTTTAAAATTTTTAAGTCAATTAAAATAAATTCATATACACATTAAATACACAATTATTGAGCAAAGATAATTAAAACTCTCAAGTAACATATCGATATCAAATGGTTGACGGTAAATATCAATGGTCTATATTAGAAATTTGGAAGATGGTGAATGGAAGACAATGATTGTTGGTGTTAAATTTAGGATTTTAAAAAATATATATATATTTTTTTACAAAATAGTATTTTAAACTTCCTACAAAATTAATAAGTAATTATTATAAAAATTTTGAAATGTTTTTTATTTGCAATCAATCAAATGAGCTGTAAAATTGACTGTTTTGAGTTTGGTAATATTTTGTAATAGCGCTGGGTTTATCATACGAGATTGATTTTGATTAACTGAATAATAAGTTTGGTCCCATTGGGCTTAGCTGTGTTGGCAGGCGATCGTGGTTGGGAATCCTCCAACCATATTTGATTTATCTCTCATGCCGCGTGACTCGTTAAATGGCGAGAAAATAACTGTGTGAATCCGTGCACTTGTGGGGTTGGTTGTTGGCGGCCCACCAAGGGATTAGCTACGTTATCATGCGCATTCTTTGAGTATGGCATGGTGTGGATATCCCTTTAAAAAAAAAAAAAAAAGAATTTGGGCTAACTAGTCCATGTACAATGTTAGTTCCATCAATATTGAAGTAGAACGGACCATTAGACTGCTATTTAAAGCATGCTTTTTCTAATCGATCGACGATAAATTTATCTTCCGGAAATCCTCGACGTGAGATTGATCAACTAATATTAAATATATTAGGATTTGGATTCTCGATTGTTAAAATGTTCTTAGTTCTTAGTTCTTACAGCTTCTCAAGGCCCTCCGGGAGCGAGTATGACTAGGTGTCAACAGCACTCAACCCTCCCGGATTTCTGCCCTAAATATTTCCAAAAGTATTCTCTCAAGGTGAAATTTTATTGTTGAAGAGTCAGCTTGCCTCTTAGCTTGTTGAAGTGTGGTGTCAGAAGAGACTTGTTGAAGACGTATGGGAAGAACTAAAATAGGAGAAATTATTAAGTGCAGTTACTGGGCGCTGTCAGAAGGCCAATCAGGATGTGTCACATCATCAATTCATTGTGTATCGTTACTGTATACCGTTGTGTATCGAGTGATGCGGCGCATCCTAATTGATCTCTGAACAGTCGGGTGACCGCACGTAATAATTTCTTCTAAAGTAGTGGCACCTTTGATATATCTTAGTAGATGCTTGAGTAGTTGGTAGTGAAGAGAGAGAGGGCATGGTTGTTTGATTTTGAAATAGGTTTGATTTGGTGATGGTGAAATATTACAGCGACCCAATAATATGCCTATACAATGTTTGGATTTTCCGGTGGCTAATTTGCACCAAATGGAAAATTCTGCTTAAACGGAAGAGGTTTGTAAATGGCCATGCAATCTACCATTCCAATATTGTTTGATATTTCTAATGCAATTTTTTTATTGTGTGAGTAGCAAGCGACTATATAGGCATTGAATGGTAATGCCCAAAAATTGTGAAGTTGGGCCTAGCAGTTTTAGACAAAATGCTTCTTGGAGATGGATTGGTTGACATTTCCCATAACTAGTATGTCATTTGCATACACAAGAAGGTGTGTACGTGTATGTGATTTTGATGATAAATTAGAACAAAAGGATCAATTTTATTAACTTTACAAACCACATTGAGAAGGAGATCAAATAAGGTGTTAAGCCATTCTCACAAAGTTTCTTTGAGGTCATATATGGCCTTTTGTAGGAAGCGCATACGTCTTGTATAATATGGATAGTGATGGCCAATTGGTTGATTCATGTACGCCATTTTTTTTTAAAATGTGCCTTGGAGGAAGGCCTTCGACACATTAAGTTGAAGAGTCTCCTAGTTGTGATAAATGATCATTGTTAGAATAATCCAAAGTGTAGGCATTTTAGGAAAGGATTGAAGGTATAGATTTAGACTTTGTTTGGGACAACTTTCTTCCTGCTTCAATATTTGACACAACATGAAAATCCGACCCTGACCCGACCTGAACATTTCGGGTTGGACAAGAACTGTTTGAAAAACTAGTCGGGTTCGGGTTGACTCGTCCCAAAAACCATTTAGATTGAGTTGTCTGCGCAGCTCGAGGCTACTTGCACCTGCCACGGCTACCCGCGCCCTGCTCGCGTCTGCCCGCGCGACCACCAAGGCTGCTCGGGCTCTACCCGAGGCTGCCCGCGCCACGCAGCTGCCGTTCGCGAGTTGAGCTCGCGAATGCCCGCGCTACTTTTTTTTTAAGTGCATTTAATAGCGCGGGCATCGTTTGGCACATTGCTGAATGCACTTAGGGTATCTCCAACGGAGAACTCCATTTTTTACGGCAAAATATAGCAAAACTCTAAAATGCCGTGGTGCTGCTCCAATCGAACTGCATTTTACTTCTGCGAAGGTAATGATCATTCTCCCTTTCGTGCGTTTTTTTGGTTGAGAGAGCAAAATAGCGTAGGTGAACAGTGCAACGTCAATATTGGCGTCGCACTGTTCAACCGCAAGTAAATGACGGAAGATTTGACGTTCGGCTGGAGCAATTGAACAACGCCATACGCACATTTGACGTTCGGTTGGAGATGCTCTTAATGATTTGATGAGTTGTAAAAATGAGAGATATTACATGAAGTTAGTATAAGAGAAAAATAATCGGAATAGAGAGAGGGAGAGAGACAAAGAAAATATGAGAGATGTGAGAGAGAGAAATTACGAGAAGAGAGGGCCGATTTTAGATACATAATATTATTTAATTTCAAAGTATAAAATATAATAATTAAATATTATTTGTTTTTTTAACTATATATAATAATATTTAAATATCAATTTTTAAACATCAGTTAAATATTAATTTAAATAAATTCATTAGACTATTATTTTTTAATTAAACAATTGATTTAAAATTTATTCAGTATAAAAAAATAGTATTTTATTTAAATATTTAAAAATAATATTTAAATCATTTCTTCCTTGCTCTGTTACTTTTCCTGGTCGCCATTTTTTGGTTCCTGCTTGGGCTTCGTCGAGTAGTGTGTCGGAAGAGTCGATAAGAAGCTTTTTCTCCTCGACGTCGGATCGAAAGTCACGACGGGAGCTCGCTCGCTGCGAAGGTAACCATTTTTACGGTTGGCAGGATTTGGCGTAAATCCGGCGTAAATCCTACTTATTAAAACCCGCTACCAAACAGGTAGAGAAAAAGGTGTGGGGAGGCAGGAGGCTGCTAAGCAGAGGCCATGCACGAATTCATCTAGTCTCCTTCAGCGACACGGTGCGGATCTAGCTCCTCTCTTGCGCAACGACGTTTGCCTGTAATATATCTTTGATTCCTTTGGTTAGGTTTTTCTCATCACTCTCTTCAATCCTCTCTTTACTAAGCTGCTACGATGGCGGTGAGACACCTTGAGACGCAGTGGCCCCGTCCCCCCCTTGAAATGCTTTGGCCTTCGGCCTCTTCTCACCGCTGTCCGCTCTTGGAAGAACCCCCGCCTCCTATCGGCTGCTCACAGTGGCATCTCGCCATTTTTTTTTTCTTGTAGCCAGTTATTTTCTTATAGGTGTTTGGAAAATCTCATTAGATTAACCAAAGTTTAATCACTGGCATTTCAATAGTACTTAATAAAAGTTCGGTAGGCAGAGTTCTTGCAATTAGGAAGGAATTCCCTTGAACTAGCCCTAACAAGAGTCGCAAAGACCGAGAACGTGACAGGAACATGACTGGGTGTTTGAGGAAATGCCGCACAAGATCATACAAAGTGTCACTCACCATAATATGGCTTATTTTTGATCAAGTAACCAGATACACTACTGAAACATAAACTTGAAGTCTTTATCATAATAGTATTCTGAACGACAATATTATGACAAGGTTATCATAATAGATTGATAGTGCTCATCTTATTATGATAAACAGAGCAAGCTTATTAATAGGGTTCTGCATTTACTTGTTCGAAATCATAAAGTATAACTCTATACCATACTAGTGCCTACATTTTCTTGATCCGATGAAATTTAGGTATTTTGTGTAGCATGGACCTTTGCCACTTTGATGTTCTGCACACGTATAATGCAAATGTACATGCATGTTCATATTCAAACTTATTAATCGATATTACTAAACAAAATAGGAAGAGATAAAAAAAAATATAATATTCGAGCTTAATTTTGCTGCAGGTATTGAAATATTAGTTTGATTTATATATTTTTGGAGGTGGTGCTTAGAGCTTAGAAAGGGCACCATATTTTTTAGTTCCTTCCAAGAAAAAATTTTTATTGATTATTAATCAAATGCACAGTATAAAATTAGAAATTACAGTTGGAGCTTTATGGTTATTGGATATATTCTAATTAAATATCTGTAGCAATATGTAATTCAAATATGCATAACATAGAAAAAATTTTCATTCTTTAAATTCTTTGTTCTTCCTTCAAACCAACTAAGAAACTGAAATCCCTTCTCATCTCGATTTTTCCTTAACCAATCAAATGAGGAAAAATGTATTTCATATCAAATTTTTTTACCATCACCATTTTCTTTTCCTCTTCATTTTCTTACTCACAGTTCCTTCAAATCAAACTGATCCAAGCTAACGTTTTTCAACTTTCAAGGTTCCTGGACAATGACAAAAGGGAAGCTCATCAATATAAAGAGTTTATTTTCTAAGTTTCTCTATAACTTTGGTCAGTGTCTTGCTATAATGCCACTTCTCCTAAACTGATCTGTATGATTAAATCTTTTACTCCTGGCTTTTCAATGCTGATAAGTAGGATGATTAATTGCAGGATGGGATCTACTTCTAGGAGCAATTGCTGCCTTCTACCTAATCATTGTTCCCTACACCAAAGTCGAAGAAAGCTTCAATGTCCAGGTATGAAACTTATTGTCATTGCATCTGACCATCTAAATTATATGATTGTTGCTTCATTTTTTGTTTAAAAAAATGTTAATTTTAGAAACTTAGCTGATTATGTCAATATATTGCTACCAATGCTATTAAAATAATTATATATGAATCAATGGACTTGGCCAGAAAATTTCAGCCGCCCAATTGTGAATTTGATGCTGAAAACTGATTTGATTTCTCTATTTACAAATTATCATTCACAAAGTATAAACTAACTCCATGCTTCTGTATGTTATTAGGCAATGCATGATTTACTGTATCACCGACAGCATATAGACAGGGTCAGTGCTGCCATTTCTTGTGCAACTTTTAGTTCAAAACAAAAAAAAAAAAAAAACAATTTTTACTTGATATTGGTTGGATGTGTATGGTGTTTGATAAGTTAACTTTTTTGTTACAGTACGATCACCTTGAATTTCCTGGCGTTGTTCCTCGTACATTCACAGGTAAACTATTCCTTGCTTTGTGAATTGAACTCATTTACTGGATATGGGCCTAACATTTGCTTCATTGCTGCATTATCTTCATTTTAGTCTTCTTATAATATTAAAGATGCTACTTTCCATGCAATATATGCGTGTTGTGTTCAAACCCTAAGGAATTGTTTGTTTAGAATGATTAGGCAATTAATTGTTATTTTTAATTTACTAATCTCTGCTCAATCTTAAATCACATAATCATACAATCAACTTGTGGACACTTGAAATGTCACTTAATTTTGCCTGTGGTGTGATTATGGAAGCTCAAAATAGATGGGTAGAGATCTGAGTTGATTCCTAATTAATTATTAGTTATGTTATGACAAACTTATTGTGTCTCAATCTCAAATTAATCTGTTCACTAGTTAATGGCACCTATTCTATTGTAATTTATTTACATGTAATAGTGGCATAAGTACAATTACTATTAAATAAATATCATTTGTGGTGATTATGATACTAATTTTGTTAGCTAACTAATTTCTTATTTACATGTGATTATTGAATAATAGTTTTACAATTAATTTTAATAAGTGTCATAAAATTAAAATTGACTACTTGTGAGGATTGATTATGAATTTGCCATTCACTTGTTTTATTCTAATGATGTAATCAATGTCTTAATTTCTACTGTTTATTAATTAATATTTTGTAATTATAAGTTTTCATATTATCTTTTACTGAATCATTATTATTATTATTACTAGTATAATTATAATTTAACAGATTGGGATAAAAAACCTTTACTTAATGGATAACCCACCCGGCTCATGTCACCAATTGGCCCGAGTACTTGGAATACCAAGCCAGGAACAACAGTCAGATGTTGATTTAATTCCTTTCAAACTATGAAAAAAAATCTAATAAACTATCATCCAAAACTTTAAAAAGAGCCACTAATTATCAATCATAAATTTGAACATATGTAATTCAATTCATATTTATTCTCATTCACTCTGCTTCTTTTGCGCATAAAACCTTCTCTATCAGCCTTCTAATCTAGAGGAGCTTTATCTGAACTATTTAATTTAATGGGTTAAGTTTCCATCATCAACTTAGTGGTTAGTTACAACTCTATATATCAATAAAAAAATTATATATATAATATATTTATTATCTTATATAATTATTAAAATTTTCATTTAAAATAATTTAAACATGAACACTGATAAGATAAAAAAAACATCATTTTACAAAAAACATTCTTTTATGATGTAATTATTAGGTTATAACTTTTAATATGCCATTCATTTCAAGAGCGTCATATGTTGGATCAATTAAGGCACAAATATTTTCATTTTCTTTTCCACTTTTTCATTTTTTAATGATGGTAACATTGCTTTCATAGCCTATACCATAAGTGGGTGAACTCCTTCATTTATATGCATATACATTCCTTTTAGTACATTTCTTTCATTATTTTATTTTATTTTCATATAAGTTTGTACATACTTGAAGTTCAATAGGATATATTCACATTTAATGTGTATTATACTCTAATAAAGGTTATTTTATTATTTATATTCAATATAAAGCAGTGTTACAAATATTAACAAATATTAGCAAATATACATACCATATGCTATCATCAGGGACTAAAAAGTAGCAGGGGCATTGGTGAGACCAAACAGCATCACCAAGAATTCATAGTGTCCCTTATGTGTCCTGAAAGTTGTTTTCAGAACGTCCTCCTCTCTCATCCAGATTTGATGGTATCCGGACTTTAGATCTACATTCGTGTATGCCGCCGCTCCACAAAGCTCATTTAGCAACTCATCTATCAACAGAATAAGAAACTTATCTGGCACAGTCTCCTTATTCAGGGCCTGATAATCCACGCAAAATTTCCAACTTTCATCCTTCTTCTTGACCAGTAGAACTGGGCTAGCAAAAGGGCTCATGCTTGGCCTGATGATCCCTGCCTCCAATATCTCTTAGATCAGCTTTTCAATCTCATCATTCTTAATTTTGTGGTAATACTGATTGGTAATACCCGTCCCTTAGTGTGATGGCATGGTCCTGTCCCTTCTATGGTGGCAATCCCTAAGGTGGCTAGAAAGCCTCCAGGAACTGCTGTAGAACTGGTTGTACAGAATGAGGGATGTACCCTCCTTCCTCCCCTATGATCCCCTCCAAACTCTGTAGCTCCACCAGGAATTCTTGTCCTACCTCCTGTATGGTCCTTACCATGATTTTTAGTGACACCATTGCTTTGGAGAGTCCTGCATCTCTTTTAATCAACATCCTCCCTACCACCATCAGCTCCATTGTTAGCATCCCCCAATGTCTGCAGCCATCTCTTTCCTAGGATAACATCAATGCTCCCCATCACCAATGGAAGAAAATCCTACATCACTTGGATCCCTTGTATGGTCTAGACCACTCTCCTACATAATCCTTTGCTAGTCTCCATATTCCTTGTCCCTATCATCACCCCATATCTCCCTGTGTCTACCAGTTTCAACCCCAATTGGTCTATGATATGGTTGGAGATGAAATTGTAGGTGATCCCACTGTCTATCAGCACCGCTACTTCCTTATCAGCTATTTCTCCTTTCACCTTCATAGTATGATTCAGGGTAAATCCCACTATTGAGCTCAAAGAAACCTTAGCCATGTCCAAATGCAGTTTGTCCTCCTCTGCCGATACCTCACTCCCACCTCCCTCCTAAGTTTCCTTGTCATCATAGACAGTGAGAACCTGAAGAGTTCGATCCTTACACCTATGCCCCAGTATGTACTTTTCATCAGATTTGAAACATAACCCCTTCGTCCGCTTATCCTGCACCTCCGCCTCTGTGAGTCGCTTGAAATTGCCCTCGAGCAAACTCTATCGCTCTTCTCCCTTGGAGATTCTCTCTGGGAGGATAGTTTCTGGGTTCTGGGTGCTAGAGTAGTAGAGGTACTTTGGTAGGCCCCTCCCATGATGTTGCTTATGCTGGCATTTTCCCTCATATATTTTTCCTCCACCCTCTGAACATGCTCCATTGTCTGTCTCATCCCCCTAGGCTTCAATTCCCTAAACTCTGTCTGTATGTCCTTCCGAAGCCCCTTCATGAAATTCCCCTCCAGTCCTTCCTCATAGATTCCCCTCAATCTCCCTGGGAGCAGCTCAAACTTCTCCTAGTATTCCATAACGATCCTCTCTTGAGCTAGGGCATAGATTTGCTCGTGGAGGTCTCCTTCCTGGATGGTTCGAAAACGTTCCAACAAATACTCCTTAAATTCTCCCCATGAGTACATCATATACCTAGCCTCCCTCCATTGGAATCAAGCTAGGGTTTTCCCTTCCAAACATAGACTCACCGCTATGAGTTTTTTCTTTTCCGTCAGCTCATTGATGGCAAAGTAACATTCCACCCGGTAAACCCAACCTTGAACATCCTCCTCTTCAAAGACCGCCATCTTTAGCTTCCTTACCATCGCATCCATACCCCCTTTGTTTCTTCCCCAACCATGCCCTTATCCATCCAACCTCTCCCCATGCCCGGATAATCTCCCAAAATGGTCAACTTCCTTCCTCCTCGCTGTCCTCTCATCGAAATAACCCAATTGTCCCACCAACAGGGCTCCATGTAGTAATCCTCGATGGAAAATACTTTCCAATTCATCGTTGTCCTCCCGAATCTCTTTTCCTCGTGGTTTCACCCTAGGAATCGTTGGTGATGCTTTCGATTGCATCTCAAGCATCTTTTTCATCATCTCTTCAAAGTTCCCGAAGCGGTTCTTGATGGCCGAGAGTATTCCCTCCACCCCAGAATATTTTTCCTTTGCTCCGGCCTTGAGTTGTTCCATCTCACCTTCCAACACATCTATCTTCTTTGCTTCCATAAATTAGATCTAGGTTCCAATTGCAAAAACAACAACCAAAACTTATTTTTCCACCCAAGAAAGTGCTATGATACCAATTTGATAAGAAACAAGTGCAGGAATTGAGAAAACCTTGTCTGAAATTTAGAATTTCAGCAAGATTCAAACATATTTTGGGATAAATTCCTTGGCAAAACACTTGGGAAACTTGATAATAGATGAAAAGTAGAAGAAAACAAGCAATATACTATGTATCTTCAATTCTAGAGGAAGCTCCGGCTCTCCCAATCTCTAGCCGGTGGCTAGAGCCCAAACAACCTAAGAGAAAACTCAAAACAACAAAATATCACATAACCCTAACCCTAACCCTTGCCCTCTTATTTAAAGAGTACAAATAAAAGCATAATTACTAAACAGCCATTCCAAGACTAATTTCCTTCCTAAACTTCCCCCCTTCAATTTGAAATTGCCATCAAGGAATAGGCCTCACAAGGGGGCCGTCGACTCCTATAGCCATCTTTGAATAAACCAGGAGCTGGCTAGACCGGCCCATCTTGGACCGGTCTATCAGCTCGTAAGAAGTCTAAGAACGCAATATGCGATGCAAATATTTTAGCTTTTAGTGATTTATATACTATATTAGATACTAAAGGGGACGAAAGATATATGGATAAGTTAGCCAAATAAAGAGAAATGATTAGTAAGGATTTAGTTCAAGTGAAGTACATTAAGGATGAAGATAAAAAATAGCTTTTATTAGAAGATGATATTCAACAAAGGTAGGTGTGATATTTTGCTAAGCTTTTCAATGAAGATTATGAGAATATGATTGACTTTAATAACCTTAGCATCCTAAATCAAAATAAAGATTTTATTTTTATTGATGTATTAGTAAAACTTAAGATAGAGAGGATTTTAAGAAAAAAATGAAGTGTGGAAAAATTGTTGGACTTAATGATATTCCAATAGGGTGTAGAAATGCTTAGGGGATGAAGGAATTTCTTGGCTTACTAAACTTTTTAATATTATTTTGAAGACTAAAAAGATGCCAGATGAGTGGAGAATGAGTGTGTTGATTCATATTTTTAAAAATAAAGGTGATGCAAAAGATTGTGCGAATTATAGAGGAATTAAGTTGATGTGTTTTACTTTAAAACTATGAGAGAGAGTTCTGGAGTATAGGTTACGACGTGATACTAATGTTTCTCAAAATCAATTTGGATTCATGATGTGTAGTTCTACTATGGAAGCTATACATTTATTGAGAGGTTTGATGGAGAAGTTTAGAGAGAATAAAATGAATCTACATATGATATTTATTGATTTAGAGAATGCATATGATAAAATTCCAAGAGAAGTGTTGTGGAGGGTTCTAGAAAAGAAAGAGGTTAATAATACTTATATTTAAGTCATTAAGGATATGCATGCAAGAGCTGTTACTTGTGTTCAAACACAAGGTGGTTTGACCAAGTATTTTCCTATTTAAGTTGGATTACTTCAAGGATCAACCTTAAGCCCATATATTTTTGCTTTAGTCATGGAAGTTCTCACTAGACATTTGCAAGAGGTTGTACTTGATGTATGCTTTTTGCTAATGATAATCTTCTTATTGATAACACTAGAGAGGGAGTTGAAGGTAAATTTGAATTATGGAGGTCAACCTTAAAGTCCAAAGGTTTACGTTTGAGTAGATCTAAAACCAAATATATAGAGTGTGATTTTAGTAGTAATAGATCTAGTGGGGGTATTGTGACTTTGGGCGATCAAATCATTAATAAGAGTACACGTTTTAGATATCTTAGGTCTATTGTTCAGAGTGATGGTGAAATGGACGGGAATATTATTAGTAGAATTCAAGTTGGATGGTTGAAGTGGAGGAATGCATTAGGCTTATTGTGTTATATAATTTCCCCTCAAACTTAAGGGAAAATTCTATAAGATGGTGGTGAGACCTGCTATGCTTTATGGCGCTGAATGTTGGCCATTAAAATAGAAGCTTAATATTAAGTTAAGTTTTGCAGAGATGAGGATGCTCAGGTGGATGAGTAGCTTTACTCTTAGAGATATGATACGTAATGAACATATATGTGAAAAGGTTGGTGTATCTCTAGTGGAAGATAAGATTAGAGAGAGTCTCCTTAGATGGTTTGGTCATATAAAATGGCGGCCTTCTGATGACCTGGTTGGAAGAGTAGATGTATTAGATTTAGCTTATGTTAAGAAAGGTAGATATAGACTTAACAAAAACTTGGTTAGAAAATACTAGAAATGACATTTATTTATTAGATTTAAATGAGAATTTGATTCTTAACATGATATAATGGAGAAAAAAGATTCATGTAGCCTATTCCACGTGGTGGGATGAAGGCTTGATGTTGTTGTTGTTTTTATTTGTATAGAAATTGGTTCAGACTGATTTGCCAAGGAACTTATATTTCTCTTAACCATTTTCATGATAAACATTAGCGATGCTGCTATTTTTCATATCATTTATGCAGGGGCTATTGTTGTGTCAATTCTAGCATCACCGGTGATTGCAATGATGCAATTGTTTCATGCAGCAAAGATCTATAGTCTACTTACAGGTACAATTTAAATTACATCATCGAATTGCTACATTAGCTGTTAATATGGCTTATATGTCACTATTTTTTGCGTGTTGTTATAGGTTTCTCATGCCAAATCTCTCTCTCTCTCTCTCTCTCTCTCTCACACACACACACACACACACATATATATATAATTCTATTGTGCATTTACTATTTTGGATTGCCTTTGATTGTAAGTTTTGCAGCTTCAAAATTATATAATACAAACTTTGTCCTTATTTTTCAACTTTTCTTGGTTTCACTGTTTAATGTGCTCAGGCACCTTAAATTATTTCAAATTTGTTCTTTCAAGCCACTGAAGGGAGCCTTTTCCTTTCCCACTAATAACTCAGAAGAGAGCTAGAACGTACTGAACGCTATGAAGTTTAGCACTTTTTTAATTATCCACGAATAACATTTTTACAAGTTCAATAATTGGTTAGACCTTAATAATAGAAAACATGTCATGATAACCATTGGAGAGATGGTTGTGGCTTTTACCATGTCTTTAAGGCTTCGTTTGGGACGGCTTTCTTTATGCTTCTTAAATCAGCTTTCTTGTAGAAAAAAATAATTTTTGTTCTAAAAAGTTGCTTTATGAAGCAGTAAAAAAGCCGTCCCAAACGAAGCCTAAATTTGGAAGGATATATTCAAGTTGGAAGAAATGTTAGTATCATGTAAATTAGTCTAAGATGGAAAGTTATCAATTTACAAGATGAGCATGTGGAGATATTTGCACGTATTTGAGCTTCTTCTGATGTTAAGGAGGCATTAGTAGCATTGTTTAGTGTGCGAGGTGAAAAATCTCTAAGAAGATGGTGGGGATGATTGCAAGAAATGTCTAAAAAAGTTGTATTTAAGTTTTGCTGATCATGACGATTCATGATTGAAGTTTAGTTTAGGTTCTTTCTTTTGTTGTGTTCGGTATGGAATGTTCTCATGATCATTTATGGTCTACTTTTGAATTAAATAAGTAGGTTAACAATTAAAGTATTTTTAACCTTTTGCTGCATTAACGTTTGTGTTTCCCCGTCCCTAGTTATTTGCATTCTTTTTCTTATTGTTTCTGCATTCATGCTTTTTAATGTTGGATAGTTGTGCATTTCGTGTATATCTATTGAATTTTAGAGGCTTCTGGAATATTTTATTTATAATGATGGTTAATATACTTCGACGGTTGTCCTATTTTTAGTACAAAACATGAGTTACTTGCTTTGTTAGTAAACTATTCTTTTAAATTGATGAGTTTTATTGCTGAATAGTAGTACGTCTTCTATGATCTGTTGAACTTGCGAGTTTAAAGGATGATTGGTGTACACGCACAGTTGAGCAATTTCCCTCGTGAATGTTTTTCTGTACTTTTTAATTACAAAACATGAGTAATCTGCTTTTCAAGGAAGTTGATGATTTTTTTACTTTTATGTTGTTTCCAGTACGCTTGGTGTTAGGTTGCTTGGTGTTGTCAGCTTTGAGATTCTTTAGGATTCAGGTACCTTTTTCTTTTCCCAAAATCAACATTTTCAAATCCCAAACTTCATTGTTGACAAGGGTTTATCATGACTTTCTAATCGTTCTTTTTGTTATTCTATTAAGTTAGCATGCCTTACAATTATTACCTCAGTAGAAGCCTTGATTGTTATGGAATGCAAGCTACGCTCTAGTGATTGACAACTATATCATTAAATTTAACTTTTAGCCACTCACTGCACGGCTGACTGTATCATATGAAAAGCATGAAACAAATTATTTGTTAAAAATGAGAATTCCAGATGTCTTTCTAAAGCTGTGAGGAAATAATTGGTTTTTGAAAAGTTGGAAATAAATATATATATATATATATATATTGCTTTTAAAAAGCTTTCATAAGGTAAACTTGAATTATGGAGGTCAACTTTAGAGTCTAAAGGTTTTCGTTTAAGTAGATCTAAAACCGAATATATGCAGTTTAATTTTAGTAGTAATAGATCTAGTCGGGGTTTTGTGACTTTGAGTGATCTAGTCATTAATAAGAGTACATAGTTTAAATATTTTTGGTCTATTGTTCAGAGTGATCATGAAAGAAATGGGGATATTATTAGTAGAATTCAAGTTCGATGGATGAAGTGGAGGAATGCATCGGGCTTGTTGTGTGATAGAAAATACCACTCAAACTTAAGGGAAATTTCTATAAGATGGTGGTTAGACCAGTATTGCTTTATGGTGCATAATGTTGGACATTAAAAGAGAAGCATAATATTATGTTAAGTGTTGCTGAGATGAGGATGCTCAGGTGGATGAATGGCTTTACTCTTAGAGACAGGATATCAAATGGCATATACGTGAAAAGGTTGGAGTGGCTCCAGTGGCAGATAAGATTAGAGAGAGTCATTTTAGATGGTTTGGTCACATAGATTGGCAGCCTTCCGATGACCCGGTTAAGAGAGTAGATGCATTAGATTTAACCTATGTTAAGAAAGGTAGAGGTAGACCTAAAAAGATTTGGTTAGAAAATATTAGAAATGACATTTCTTTATTAAATTTAAATAAGAATTTGACTCTTACCCGAACATAATGGAGAAAAATGATTCATGTAGCTTGTAGTGGGATAAAGGCTTGATGATGTTGTTGTTGTTAAAAAGCTTTAATTGGTTAGGCTGCAAGTACCAATTTATAGTTTAGGATTGATATAGTTTGCCATCGATGTTAATGGAGTAATATGCATTTGATTTATTATCTTTGTGCTTCTTTTGTCGATTTACTTAGTTTGTTAGTGTACTGCTTGTGACTGATTTATGCTTCTGCAGGTTAGAAGGAAATTTGGTTTACATGTAGAAGCATTCTTTGCTATATTAACTGCTATGCAATTTCATCTGCTGTTCTACTCAACACGCCCTCTGCCAAACATATTGGCTTTTGTTTTAGGTGATGATTTTTTTCTCAGTTGGGCATCTTCTGCATAGGTGATTGTAGATTTTATGCATGTTGTACTAAATACGATATAGAAGCTGCTTTTATGGACAACTTTCACTAATTGTTCCTATTTCAATGGTAAATTGGCGTGTAACTAAGAAAAACATTCTTGAGGTTCAAGTGATATTCACATTCTTACCATAGATTTATCATCTTTCTTTTCGTTGTGTAATCTATTTAAACTTTGAAGGGTAACTCCTGTTGACGGCCTTGGCCTTCTTACCTGTAGAGGTCATTGTTGGAATAAACTAATATTGGATTTGTTTCTTTTGCATTTTCTGCATCACGGAGCTGTGGTTTGCTACACTATGATTTGAACTAAGAAGTTGGAGCACCTGAGCTTTCTATGACAATTGACATTAATGATAAGAGCATCTCAAATTAATATAACTGATTCATCATTACAATATGAAAGTTTTAACATGGATTATTGTTGGAATGTAGTGATTGTTTTTGCAATCACTTGTCTGGAGTAGTTGCTAGCAAATCTCCAGAGCAGGTGTTTGACTGAGATTATTGTAATGATGATTTGATTATTGCTTGGCTTATCTACGAGGTTATTTGCTCGTTCTTGGGTTGCACTTTATCTAATTCAGATTCCTTATGCTACTACATGCATAAACTTAAAAAAACTCATATAGCTAAATATAGGTGCACCTTATGGCTTAGAGCTGTGAATAAGTTTTTTAAACAGAGTTCTGCTCATGTTTTTGGAAGAATACCAACTGAACGAGCTTTCATATGGAAACTTCTTGTTCATTATGATAAATTTTTTATGTCAATAACTACTAAAGTATACAGATATAGTTGATTTTCCTTTTTCATAGTTCACGATGCATGAAAAAGCACTGATTTTTCTTGCATGTTTTAATGTTATCAAAATTGTGTCCTGCTCTCCTGTAAATCACACTCATTAAAACAAAGCCATCTCCTCTTTGAATGTATGCTTTTTGAACTTATAATGGCATAACAGAAGAATGAATGGTTTTTTTTTCCTAAAACCTGCTGAATTGTCAAAAAATTGTTTGCTATTTTTTGTTGTTAAATCTTGCAGTTAACTTGGCATATGGATTTTGGTTTGAGGGAAATGCCACAAGTACTTTGAAATGCTTGGTATGCTCCTTTTTTTGTTTTCCTCTTTCACCATTGATTTGCTTGTTTAACGCCCAAACAATATTCTTTTGGCAAGATCAGAAAGAGTTTTTTTATTACTGTTATTCTTTTTATTAGTATTTTTATAGCATTAAGTGCCAATCAATGAGTAAGGATTCTTTTTTCTTTAAAAGGCAAAGCGAAGCAGCATTTTTATTAACTAAAGTATTTTTTATATCATCTATACACATTATGTGCAGGATGCACTAAGAAGCATTCTTGAGAAAAGCTTGTAAGTGTGTAGTTTCTAGTGCTAATAGAAAGAAAATCGAGAAATGTATAAACAGTCAAGCAGACTAGGCAACATGAAGAAGAGAACCACCAAGAAGTTAATAGTTCTAGTTGAAGATGGGAGTGCTACATCAAATGTATAGAATGCATGGCGATATAACCATTTTTTTGTGATTTTGTTGCTTAGTCCATCTTTTTTTCTTTTTTTTTTTATCGTTGTGGGTTTATAAAATAGACCAAAGATATAGTTATGAAACACACATGAACCATAACTAAGATTTAATAATACGTGCAACTCTTGATAGAAATGACTGGTGAAGGATTCAGAAGACCAGCTCAAATAGTTGGGATAAAGCTAATGATAATGTTGATGATGATAATGATATGCTGGTGACCCGGGTTGAGTAGGAGTCTTTGGGGTTGAATGACTTGTATTGTGGTTGGTAGTTGAGCATATTATGGTTGCCATGACTCTCTTTCATTATCTACATTTGCTTTAATACATTTTTTTTTTCATAAAGTTCCCGGCTAGTTTTAGAGGTTAATAACAGGAAAGGTGTGCACCTTTCAGAATGGGAATATAATTCTCTAGTATAATGTGCACAGTTTTCTTAACGGATGTTTTTGAGAATGCCATTTTAGAGACTAATCACTTGGTAAGTCTTCAAGGCAAAAAAAAAAAAGTTTTCAAGGCAAATGTACTTTTCTTGCAGGCTTTTGTCAGGCTTCTATCTCATAGCATGTCTGTTTCTTTGACAGATTGCAGCAACAGCCATATTTAGATGCGATACAGTGCTTCTCTTTTTACCTATTGCCATAGAGCTTTTGCTGGTACGGATAGTTGAATCTATTTGGTCTCCTATTATTAAATAAGTGCTCATTTATTTATTAAATGTTATAATCTTTAAGAAATAGATTTTGAGTCTTATTTATAAAAAAACATTTCTGCCAATTACTCTTTATAATTGAACCCTTTGTGATTGCTATTTAACTTTTTTTTTTTTTGCGTTGTCTTTTTTACATTCTCATCATTGTCTACTAGTTCCTTATCAATTCATGTTAATTTGTTATTGATAAGGTTATGTTCCTTTTCTTATGAATTTTTATCTACCATTTTGTATGATATTTTGCTTTCAGCATTTTGATCCTAACTCTTACTTCTGCAGCTTTGTGACTACTTAATTATCTTATGAATTCTCATGATTTGTTGCTTTAGCTAATTTTTTCAGAGTAAATCGATTTCATTGTTGCAATCAATAAAATGCTGCGTAAACACTGCAGTGTTATGCATAGGTGAGTTTTTGAGGCAGTGCTGGATATATAAATAATCGCCGTGCATTTTGACATGCCTTACTGTTATGTGATTTACTTGCAGGTTTTACTTTGTTGGTTGACTCAATATTTTGGCAGAGAATATTGTGGCCTGAACTGGAAGTTTTCTGGTTTAACTCTGTGTTGAATAGGAGTTCAGAATGGGGTGTATCCTTTACTTGTTATAATAGAGTCATTAGCTTCCATTGCACGCAGGCTTGTTTGGTATAATCACAGGAACTTCATGTAAAGTTGAACCTATATGCATATGCTGGTCACATTCTGCTGCTATGCTGTGCATTTTTTCATTCTACCTTCATTATTTATTGTAATTTCTAGTTATATGCTATTCGATATTTTCTTTTCTGAAGTTTTTTATTGTAAATTTTATAGGTTTATACAAGTTGGGCATTCCAAGTCTGTATGATTGGTAACCTTTTTTGTACATGACTTTTAAATTGCTTTCTTAAGGTGTTGCTCGGATGTTCTGTCTATCACGTCTTTTGAAATAAGAGAGATGATAATTAGAATTCCTCAATTGTGAGACTTATTTTCCATCTTATTTTACCCTAGACTACTTGTTTTTGTGGCTGCATCATTTCTTACTCAGGTCCATATCTAGTTAAACATGCATTTTCTGTCCAACAGCAGAAAAGTATTATCCTTTTGCAACTTTTCACGTTATGTGAGGAATACTGGCTTTTGATAATGATGCAATCCTGGTAAATGAATATCGTTATTGTTTTGGGGTAGACAACTATTGTTTTGAACAATATAAACACTTTTCTAATTTCCGTGAGAAGCTTTCGGTGTGAAATGGTCAGTAAGAAGTTTTGGTTTTGAAGTTTAGGGTTTTGGAGTTCAAAATTTCTTCAATTTCTGAACTCAGCAACCGAATATCCTTTAGCAATTCTGATAGCTTTAGCATAAAAGTCGCCTTTGCAACGTATTACATGTGTATCTTGATTTTGAGAAGTATCAGTTTACTTATTTCGTAATGCATTTTTTTTCATTTCTTTATAAACTCGATAAAAGATTAATTTTACTTACTGTGTTCAAATGCAATTTTTTTTGTCCTTGATCTTGTGATTTAGACACATGCATTTCATTGGTACTTCACTTCGGCGCTTCCCCGCTCTCTTTTGGCAGCATATCCTTTAAGCTTGGTAAGTTTTAAAATAACAAAATCTGATTGTTTCCTTCCATTTTTTTATGCTATAGATTTTAGCTTACAACAACGTCTATGTCTTATCCCACTACATGAGATCGATTTTATAAATCATTTGTCTTCATTGTGTCCTATTAAGAATCAAATTGCCATTTAAATCTCATAAAGAAAGGTCATTTCTAATACTTTTTAACCAAGTTTTTTTGATCTAACTCTACCTTTCTTGACATAGGTCAGATCTAATGTATCTTCTATCAAAATCAGGTAATTGGAAGGCTGTCATTTTATGTGACCAAATGATCTAAGGCAACTCCATTTAGTCTTATCTGCCACTGGTGCTAGACCAACATTTTCATATATATACTCATTTTGCATTTTGTCTCTAAGAGTAAAGCCACTCATCCATAGTCGGCGGATGATGGTGATTAGGACTAGTGGTGTCAAAAATTGACACGACCCGAAAACTCGACTCGAATCCGACACGAAAATTTCAGGTTCACTTCCTGATTTTTGACTTGTTTAGAATTCCGTGTCGGGTTCGGGTTGACTCAGAAACCAGAGAATGACCCAGTTTTGACCCGAATCCTGTAGTTCAGTTCGGCTTTTTTACGGGATTTGGAAAGTTACCTTCGCAGATAGCAAGCGAACTCCCGTCATTGCTTCCGATCAAAATGTTGTAACTTCTAATCCGATTGGAAGGGAATGTTGTCCAAGGAGCGAAGTCGAATAGCTACAAAAGAGCGCACAAAAGGGAGAAAGTTACCTTCACAAATAGCGAGCGAACTCCCGTCGTTGCTTCCGAGTTCCGATCAGAATGTTGTAACTTCCGATCCAATTGGAAGGGAACATCGTCCAAGGAACGAAGTCGAACAGCTATGAAGAGTATATGAAAGGGAGAAAGTTACCTTCACAGACAGCGAGCAAACTCCCGTCGTTGCTTCCGATCAAAATGTTGTAACTTTTGATCCGATTGGAAGGGAACGTCATCCAAGGAGCGAAGTCGAACAACTACGAAGAGTATTCGAAAGGGAGAAAGTTACCTTCACAAATTGATTGACAGCGAGTGAACTCCCGTCGTTGCTTCCGAACAAAATGTTGTAACTTTCGATCCGATTGGAATGGAACGTCGTCCAAGGAGGGAAGTCGAACAACTATGAAGAGTGCACGAAACAGAGAAATTACCTTCCCGACACAATGTGGGTCAGGTTTGAAAAAACGGGTCGGTCGAACAGTGCTGGGTTAGTTTCGGGTTGGACCCGAACCCGACCCGTAACTCGATTTTGACAACCCTAAGAAGGACTGTAGTCGGCGGGCGATGGTGGTTCGAGGGATCATAGTTGATAGGTGGTGAAGGTCGGCGGCCGGAAGGCAGTCCGACTTTAGTCGAGCGAAAGTCCAGCGGCAATCGACAACCTGTTGGAGGTCTGGCTGCGATCGGCAGACAGGAGGTAGTTCGGTGGAGGTCAACAACTGGGCGGTGGTTCGGTGACGGTTGTGTAAAAGTCTGATGGCGGTGTACGGCCGGGTGGTAGTCCGACAACGGTCGGCGGCCAGACGGTGCTCCGACGATGGTCGGGTGAAAGTTCAACTGCAGTCGGCGGCCGGGTAGTGGTTCGGCGACGGTCGATGGAGGTTTGCCGACGGTGGTGCTGGAGTTCTTGAAGCCTCAAAGCTCTCTCTAATCTCCAGCCAAAGGTCCTCTTTCATGTAGAGAGTGGGGGTCTATTTATAAATTTTTGAAAGTGACATGCCCCGTAAATATGGAGAATATTTTGGGGGGGGGGGGGGGCAGGGGGGGGGGGGGTGGGCAAATTTGATTTCAGAATTAAGCGATCTTGGGTTTGTTGGATCGTCTCGGCAAGTCGCTCGATTCGACTATAAGCATGTTATATTTGGATATCGTTTGGTCATCCAATTTAGGCTTTGAACCTTCGAAATAAACTTTGGGCCACCGATTTGGATCCATTTGGGCTCGGATTGGACCGATTTTGGTGTCATTGGGCTCGTCTCTTCGAGGCATTCAGTTTGACTATAAGTTTGTTGAAATTGGAGTTTAGATCATGCCTAATTTACATACTTGGAATATGCCTCAAGATTCATGCACGATCAAGACGATTCTTGATGATGTATCAATAATATTTGTGTAAGATTTATTTTAGCTTGATTTTTTTTCATGAAGATAATAATAATTTAAATATTTTATAGATAAAATTAATCTAATTCTATATTTGTTTTGAATTCCAGATAATAAGTTTTTTTTTTCAATTCACACATTGTTATTTAAAGATATGATGAAATAGAATTTGTGCAATAATTTCGTAATGTCCTACTAATAACTTCATTTGTTAACTATCTTTTAGTTGCCTAGAGATTTACCAAGCAATACCACTATTCTTGTAAAATTAGAAGATTTTATCATGTTTTATTTGAAATTCACCAACTTGTTGAGCACTCCACAAATGAAAGAAGTCACCTATTTTCTCATCTTATTTTTAATACTGACATTTTTTGGCACTAAAAAAAATGATTTTTAATATTTTATTTATTTTTTTACTTCGCAGCTAGGAGTGTTACTTGACAGGAGAATGATCAGATACTTTGCTCCAGTTTTCTCATTTGTTTTGCTTTATTCCAAACTCCCACACAAGGTTATTTGCATAGCTGATGTTTTGATGATTTATTATTAGCTCATTCATTGTATTAAGATAAGCTTGTGTTAATTTTGGATTCTTCAGGAACTTCGTTTCATCATTGGCTCTGTTCCAATTTTCAATGTATCGGCTGCAATTGCTGCCAGTAGAGTGTACGCACCTTTAAATACTGTATATTTTTTCGTTAAACTTTGTGAAATTTTTGGAAACTCAAAGAGCTTTCTTTCGTTGATCACATAATGATTATGCACCTTATTTTATGCATGCATGCATGCTTGTAAAATTGCATGTGCAGGTATTTTAAATCTTTTTTATTCCATTGTTTATTTCTATGTTTTTGGCTTTCAAATGCCAGGCTAAATTGTCCATTTAGAAAAGCTAGAGGAGAACCTTAGTTCATGTTTACGATGATCTAATTATGATTTAGGCGTATCAAAAGTTTTTCGTATCAGAAGTTTTTGAGGCAGATAGTATGTCATATATGAAGTGATTGTGTTGTTTAAACTATGATGATTCGAATTTAGTAAAAACATGGATAAAATGAAGCTTTTGATGATGAATTGGTAAGTTGCTTGTTCTCCTTCATTTTTTTTGTCCATTTATAATTCATGTTAATATTATAAAATTGATGAAACCCTATCTCGTGATGTTATTTTTATGGGCGGGTGAAATTGATGACAATTGTCTTCATAAATAGCTTTATGCCAGGTATTTGTGATTTATCATTATAATTCATTTGTCTCTATTTCTTATCTAGTAAGCATTGAACTCTAGTGTAAGTGAGTGCTTACTACTTATAACCAAGTAATTAATTGCTTTACTATATTCTTACATTGATTCTATTTATTAATCTTATTCATGCATCTTTGGCTCTCACTAGACAAATTCCCCTTACTGTATTCTCTACAACCTTACTACGAAGAAGAATTTTATCTAAGCAACCCTTCCTTCCCTGTGAATTTTCCACACCAGCATAAAATAGTGTCACATTTGGTTTAGCAGTACTAATGCTATGCTTTTGTTTCATTGTTTGAAATGAACTCACGGTAATTTCCACATATTACGACCTATTTAATAATTTAGTCCATGCTTATGAAGTAATAGGGAGAACACATGCAAATTGTATATTTTTAAGCAGATTTTCTATAACCAATATTGTTATTTAAAAACTAAGCAAGATAATAGTAGAATTTATTGGTGGAGACCAACCTTTTTATGACTACTATATTACCCTGGTAAGGTACTACTCTTATTGTCTCTAAAAAATCATTTATTACTTTATTTTCCATATTCTGTCATGTATACATCGTAGCATTCTCATTTTACACTTCTCATCATACTTAAAAATGAAAAGTCTTGATCTTGGCATAAAGGACATAAAAAAGGTTGGCTCAAACATACAAAATTGAGAGAAAACTAATATTCTGTTTTTAAAATAAGCAAAGTTTATTGTATATGCATGTATGTATTTTTATGTTTTGTAGTTGAACTACAATTACTAGAAAATAGTATTTGCTTTGCATGAAATTTTGGTCATAAAACATCTAAAATGAAGATCAAGATCATTGCTTTTGATCTACGTGGCTCAAAATAACCCATAATCATATTTCACATAAATTAATTGCTAACAATTAATTCAAGTTATGCTTTACTAACATAAACTTTTAAATTTTTTATAAAAGTTACAATTACTTATTAAACCAATTATCATAAATTATCTTTTAATTAATCATTCTATGAGTACTTAGATTAATTTATTATTTTAATTAATGATTAATATATTATAATGTTGGCTTTTTACCCCATGTGTTGATTTTTCCTCATTAAGCTTATTTTAATGAATCACTATATGTTAGAAACTTTGGTATTGTTTGTTCTTTCCCTACGAATTTTCAAATATAATCTAGTAGTATACAAAATTACTTTAATTTCTTCATTGACTATTAGTTCTCATGAAATTAAAAGAATTATAAACAATCATATTTCACGACATATAAAGAAAAATAAAAATAGTTCATTCTTCTATTATTACATGCAATTTAAAAATTAGAAACAATTATAGAAGATGAAAATTCAATGAAAATACTTCTCCTTCAAGTGAAGGAGTACTTGAGGCATGAACAATAAAGCAACAAAAATAGACCTGATCAAAAAATAAGAAGTTGATGAGATTGCCAAATCTGTGCTCATAGCTACAAAGGATGCTGAGATGATGGTTGTGTTGGCAGAGCTGAAGTTAGAGGTTATTATTGTTAAAATATTGCACACAAATAAATAAGAAATGAAATAAAGTTTAATCATATATTTATATCAATCTAACTATTACAATTAAAATATGGAATTTTATAATTGTGAATTCAACTTTTACCATGAATCAAGAACAAAATCAAAGGAAGTCAAGGTTTTGTTCTTCTAGAGAAATAAAATTACTCTCTTTCTCTCTCTCTCTCTCTCACATTCTCTTCCTCTCTCTCCTTGTATTAATGCTCTTACAAATTTTTATTGTAAGAGTAATTTTAAAGCTTTCTCTAGTTTCTAGATGCCGTTTGGTACCATTCGATACCCCTCGGTACCGAACGATACCGAGCATTGATACTGAGCATTGTACCGAGCATTGCGGAGAGGTACTGACTAGTAACGAGCGGTACCGAGTTCCGGTACTGGGTTCCAGTACCGAGCCTACGATGAAGAAAATGAAGAAAACGAACCTTCACTGCTCGTGTCGTCGAGCCGCTCTGTCGACGATGGATGATCCTGTCGGCTTTAATGCTCGCGTCATTGAGCCTCTTCATCGACGAAGGATGATCTTTTCCGTTTCTATGCTCGTGTCGTCGAGCCGCTCCTTCGACTACAATGAACGCCTATGTGAAAACGAAAAACCTACCTCGCGGAAATGTTTAAGCCACCTAAATGAATAGAGATATCGAGCGGGTAGACGAAATGAATAGGGCAAATTGCCGTTCCGTTTTTTTAGTAGGGCACGCGTATCCGATACGTGTGTCCTGTCAAATTTAAATAATATTTTAATTGGACACGGCAAAGCCATATCCGACATGTATCCATGTTGTATCGGAGGCGTATCTGTATCCGACGTGTGTCCGATACAGCATGCCTCGTAAATAGGAGTATCGGTGCTACATAGCATCTCACATTCCGTATGTGTAAATAATTGAACTATTGATTACTTTAACGTACTAGGAAACTTTTCTCCTATACTGTAATTGTTTCTTAGTTTTGATCCATTATTAAACATCATTTAATGGAAAATAAATTTGTCTTTCAACACTGATAACTATCCTTACAGGTACAATAATCAGAGGAAAAATATTTGGAGGCTGCTGTTCCTCATGATGCTTGGCTCTTTGCTTGTAAGGTTGGCTCATCAGCTTAATGGTTTGAATTGGATCTTTATTTGTTTATGCTTATAATCTGATGATTGTAGTCTAGGATGCTCGGCCATAATGTTCATGGCATCTTATGATAATTATCCTGGTGGATATGCTTTGAATGCTCTTCATCAAATAGGTAGGTTGTTTTTTACGCACTTTTTATTATGGCAGAATCATTTATCATTAAAGAATTTGTATGCCATGTTTTTACAACCCTTTCCTTGTATCTAACATTCAAATAATTTTTATATATGTCTGTAATGTTTTACTCACAAAATGTTTGTGGACATCTAGATGCACGCATATGCTTTCACCCTGATTAATCCAAGCGCAAGTGATGGGATTGAAGTCATAACTTGTTATAAATAAGCATCTGAACTTGTTAGAAATAGGCATCAGTTTTTTTTCTTAATGATGACTTGTCTGCCGATTTTAGGTTCTAAAAACGTTTTCCATGTACATTAGCTAGCTGGTTGGAATTGCTTTGTAACTGACGAAAGCATGTTCTATCTTCAAGTTTTGTAGTAACTAGTGGTTTACCTTATTACTTGTCAGTCCATTATTTTATATATCTTTTTTGTATTAATGATGACACTCTAATAAAAGTAACCTAATGATAACTCTAGGTGTGACTGAAAAATACTAAGATAACCTGTTCTTGCTTTTTATTTATTTATTTTCTTTCTTCTTATACTTTTTTAATCTTGTTGTTTCTTGATATATTACGAAATTTAAAATATGGGTTAAATTTAAAAAAGTCTCCCAAATATGTATATATGCATGCTTTAGCCCAGAGTATAACGTTGCTCTAATTTAGTCCATCGACTTAACAAAATTGATCCAAGAATGATCCCTTTGGGACTAATTTGGGATCAATTTTGTAAAGTAAGTGAGTAAATTTGAATCAATTTTATATCATAATTACAACATGAGGGATTATTTTAGATCAATTTTGTATATTCAAGAGACTAAATGTGATATTATGGGATTAAATTGGTCATACACGAATAATTTTGGGACTATTTTAAATGTTTAAAATTTGGATAGATTTTATAATTTAATAGGCTTTGAAAATTGACCTCTCTGGTTGATTTTATATCAACATGATAATGCAGAGAATTAGTTATTTAAATTTTGCCAACTCATTTCGCCTACTAATAGAGGGTCGAGTTTGACAATTGATGATTATACAAAAGTTAAAATCGAAGACTTAATGTTTTATGATGAATTTTATTTAGAGAGCATTTGAAGAGTTACAGTAGATTTGTGATTAGGCATTCGTTTGTTAATCCAAGTCAGGTCGACTCCAATCCCTTCAAGGAGGGGGATGAAACTTAGAATATTTGACCTGCACAACATTCTTGGACCATTGGATTTAGGAATCAAATGTGACGATCGGAGCATATGCGAGATATGTATAAATTTATTATGTGAACCTACTTATCCAAGTAATTGAGATTTTTCATTATTTACATATTTGGTGTATTTCTTGGGAAGATTAGTCCATAGTTTGAAAAAGAGGATAATGATGTACACCTCCAACATTTCCAATTTCTACATTTTGAAATTGCTTATGAGCTTAAGAATTTATTAATCTTAAGCCCTTTCTGACATATATGCACAACTAGGCACCATGTTAAACATAAGAGAGTCTAATTAGATAGAGTAAGAGATAGTTATGATCCATTTACTATGACTATGAATTCAACTAACATCACTTTCATAAGAATATTGTTAGACCGGTCCACTGGACCGGTCCAGGGCTGGTCGGGCCGCTCGATCTCCGCAGGAGGCGGAGATCACGCGACATTTCGCGTCTGAGCCGGTCCCGTGCGGACCGGCTGGACCGGTCCAGTGGACCGGTCTAACAAATATCCATTTATTATTCATTGCAATTCTAAATCATCACCCTCTTCTTCATTAGCATCGTCACTTTTTCCATCCTCATGCACATAATATTCAATTTGAGCGTTCCGATTTGGGATTTCCTTCCCCAACTCTTCTTCCTTATTAGATATCTTCCCATTTTGAGATTCACTCCTCTTTAGAGTTCTTAGCTTCAAGATACTCTTCAGGAGGTTTGGTTGAAAGAATAATCCTCTTCTTTAGAGAGTCAGGTGAAGGAAACTTTACAACAGTCTCTAGCATCATAATCTGTAAGAATTCTGACACACCAATCATATGTGCCAAACTTTCTTAAGAAATCCTTCCCGCTTTGGAATGACGTTGCATGCCAATATCAACTGAACTTTGCTTGTCTAAACATCCATTTTGTCAAAAAAAAAAAAAAAAGAAAAAAAAAATCAACTAAAAGTGCATTAACATTTCCTAGACATTGCCCAGAACAAAGTGCCCAATAAGATTTTTATTTTCCTCCTCTTTTTGTGCATCCATACTCTGCACAAGTCTTGATAGAAAAATCTAATTCTTTGAAATATCTAGCCTCTCACAATCAGCATATGTAGGACCCCCTTTTTTATTTTTATTATTATTTCAAATAAATTTTTTTATTTATTCATTTTTATTAATTATAAGGTTTTTAGTTACTCAAAAATCTAGCAGCCTCCTGGCGTCTCCTCCCCACGAAAAGAGGTTGGGAGGCACTTGCATTTGGTTATTCTCGCCTGGATCAAATATATGACGGTGTGACGTCTTTAAATCGAATTCTTCCTGCCCAGATCAAAGACACAACGATGTGGGGGCTTCAAATTGAAAAATACTGCCCGGATCAAAAGGGCAATGGCGCAGGTCTTCCAATTAGATATACCTATTGCTCATAATTAATTTTATTTAATTTTGAATTTAAAAATAAAAATTTTCTCAAAAATCCGGCAGCCTCCCGGCACCCCCTCCCTGTGAAGGGAGGTTGAGATGACACTTGCCCTTTGTCTTCTCGCTTGTATCAAATATACAACTGCACGAGAACTTCAAATCGAATTCATCCCTCCTGAATCAAAGATACAATGGTGTGGGGGCTTCAAATCATACATTCCTATCCGTATCAAAGATGCAACAGTGCAGGTCTTCAAATGGATTGTACATGTTGCTTGTTATTATTATTATTATTATTATATATTTATTTATTACATAATACATATATATATACATATATACCTAGCGTACGAACATTAATGAAGGAATAAGGGATCGGGTCAGATGGTTTTGTCCAACGGCAAAATGAAATTAAGCGGGCTGTGCTCTTGGGTTGGATATTAGGCTGAGGAGTCTCGACCAGAGAAGTTGAGCAAAGGAATGAGTTCGGATTGCGGAGGAAAACACAGGTGTGGGGGTGCTGCACGCGGAACGAGTGGTCGAGCTCGGCTTGGGGTTTCACGTGTGGAGTCGGGCTGGAGCCGTGTGGAAACGACTCTTGTGTGCCTACAGAGAAGGCTAGAGAAGGAGGTCTGGCTTTAATATAAGTGTGCAAAATTGCTCGATCGAGATGGTGGAGTTCGGCAGGATCAGGTCTGAGGGAGTTCGGTGGGATCAAGCCTGGGTTTCAGCTGGATTGGGCAGGCGGGTTGTCGGATCGTGCGAGGGGGCTTCGTGTTCAGGCCAGTGGGCAGAGATGAGAGCGGCTGTGGGCTTCGGCTAGAGCGGCTTCCTGTGTATGCATGTGAAAGACCTGTGTGTGAATGAGGAAGAGGGAGAGCGGGCTGTTCCTCTGGACTTCTGCATGCAAGTCGGATTTAGAGCGAGCATCTGTTTCATGAGCAGGACTGCAGGAGAGTTCTTTTTGTGCTATCAATGGGTTGTTATGGGAGTTGTGAGGTACAGAACGGTTTCTTGCGTGCAACTTGTGTGTTGTGGGGTCCAGTGGTCAACACTGCTTATGGCTCATTAGCATCTTATTTTTTGGCTCTTTGCTTGCGATGTTGTTTGTAGGCATGCTGTAGCATTTTAAGGAGAGTTTTTTAAGTCTCATAAACAGTCAAATGTCAGTTGATGACTACTTGCAAGACTATCTTGGGACCAGGGTTAGAAATAAACTAACTTATCAGTAACTTTCTAGCGCATGTTGGATTTATCTGAAAGTTAGCATTCCAGTTTAGTAAGCTTTTTAAATTTGCACTATTCCAACAGAAACAAACTTATTTAAAGTAGTTGGGAAGGGGGAGGGTGTTTAATAAGTAACTCTTGGGCCAGTTTCTGGCTAAACCTTCACAAAATTTGCTTCTTTTAATTTAGCTTTTAGCAAGTTATGACGAGTTCAGCATTATCCAATATATATATATATATATATATTGTAAATGATAATTTTGTTTTCTACAGGTGATTCAAGCCATTTACCAGCTAAGATGGTTCACATAGACTCTTTCACGGCAATGAATGGCATTTCCCGCTTCTCTGAGGAATATCCATGGAGGTATTGTTAGCTTTTTGGCAATTGAATACAAGAACATTGGAGAAGGAAATTGACAATATTTATACATTTTGGTGACCTCTTAGAGCAGGCTCCTTTTGGTTTCTTTAATTTCTAACAAGATGATTTTGGTTTGATGTGGTGGTGTTCTCTTTTGTGGTCACCAATAATTATTGCTTTCCATCATGGTATAGAATATTAAGCCTTTAATATTGTAAAAATTTCTTCCTAAGTCTTGCCAAAACTTTCATATTACAGATGCATCACGCCATCCAATTAGCCTCATACCAATTAAAACAAAACACTTACGTTTTACTTTTGCTTATTAACCAGGTATTCTAAAGAAGAAGGATTAGCCTTGGGGGAATATCGGGACAGAAATTTTACCTTTCTACTCAAGTAAGTTTGTATGAAGTTTTACTAGATTATTTTTTTGGCTTAATTAATTGTTTGGCGCATGAAAACATTCGAAACTTGTTCTTTCTTTGAAGTGAGCCACACATTGGATTTCCTTTGCTCTATTTAATTTTTTTTTGTACGTTATTAGGGTTAATTTTCCCTATATGCATGAAGTATTATCATTAATTTATTATAGCATAGCAGGTCTTTGCATTTTAAAAATCGTGTAATGTATTTTGTTTTGTTACTAATTATTGCTCGTGAACCATCTAATTTTATTAATGAAGCATGTTTATGAATAAATATTGATTGTTTACAAGAAGCTTAAGGGAAGTGAAAAATTCTAGGACATTACATATGGTTATAAATTATTATTTGTTAGAAAGGTTAATGATAAGAATGGGTTGAAATTTAATCGGATCAGTAATTGAAATATAAAATTATTGAAATGAATAGGTTGGTGATATATTGGTTGATATTAAGATAATTATTTGCAAAGAATTTATAAATGTGGCTATTATTTATGCTCTTCAAGATGAATTATGATATGGTTTGAAAAATTAGTTTTGGTAAGAGATTAATAAACTGATGTGACGTAATTTAAGGAAAAAAGGATGTTTATTGGAGGTGACATAAATGACTACCTAAGTTTTAATTTGATGAATCAAAGATAGAGTAGAAGTTCTGAATATGTATGTTATTAAGAGTATAAAGAAAACAGTAAAAAAATAACTAATTGCTTCAAGATATGGTGATGGATTTTAAAAGATGTAGGTATTGAGTCCATATCATGTGCGAATTGCATGGTTTGGTAGGTTTCAAACTTGCCTTGTGCAAAGCTTAAAAATATGTTAATGGTTTATTTGCTATTCACTCAATATCCATGTATGGATCACTGGTTGAGGTAGGTTTCAAGCTTCTTCTGTAATAGCTTGGAAATGGGTCATGCAATTTTGCATGAGTAAGGTAAATTTTCATTGTGTTGGTGACTTTATAGGTTGATGTATAGAAGATTAGTTAGCATAGATGCATAAGACTATTGATTTTGAATGAATTGAGCATGGAGTAAAAAAGAGAGGAGGGGTGTGAGAAGGAGAAAAAAAAAACTCACAATATTTTTTTTTTTTTTTGGAAAGAAAGAGGTGGCATACATAGTTAACTTCCAGAGCGTAAAGTCAAATGATACGTAGTTTTGCAATTGGAGCAAAGATTTCATGGTAGTTTATTCCATATGTTTAGTTCTATCCCTTTGTCACTGGTGTGGCTTTATAGTTTATACCTTTTTAAATTCCCACTGCTTTACATTTTGGTGTAAACATAATTTACGTCCTACTTTTTTTTTTCATTTAGATAATTCAACTATTTTTCAAGTGTGATTTTTTAGAGCATTTATATTTTCTCTCATTGTTTTCTTCCTATTCTTATTTTCAAGAGACTCAAATAACGTTACTACTTACTAGAAAGCTTTTGATGAGAAAAGGCTTTATACTACAACAACATCATCAAGCCTTTATCCCACTACATGGGGTGGGAAAGGGTTTTATATGATGGTGAAAATTTTCAAAGGATGTGTATTGAGTTATTGGGCATAAATGATGTTTAATGAATTTCGTACTACTTTTCTAGTAATAGAATGATCAATATCATTAGAATGTGGAGGAATTGAAGAGATGCTTGGTATGGGTTCAAAATATTTGATTTTGCTAGGAGCATGGATATAGTGTGACCTTGTATTGACTTGCGGAAGCCGAGCAATAGTTTATTTTTGAATAGACCTGAGTGAATCTTTGTGAAGTGTTGTGGGATTCGATTTACTCTGTTTTTTTGTGAGGCAGTAACAAGAAATTCCAAGGAGAATATATGCAAGTTACCAAACTTTTCTTCATTTTGAATTTTTTCCCTCTAAAGGTAAATTTGATTAAAACAGGAATATTTTTTTATCAAATGTATAGCATCTTTTGAGATTTATTGTGGATGATAATATTTATATCATTGTTATTTTGTGGATTATTCTAAGAATGCACGATTATGTTTTTTAGAATCAAGTTTGCTCTATTGATGTTTACACCCTTAGGACCAAAGGCATCATGTGCCGATCAACACTAATGATTATACCACGTCTTTAAATACCTCCGAGAGGATTGCAACCAAGCACTTAGAGTCCGAACAAGCCCAGGATTCCTAAAAGCACTAGCACAAGCAAGCCTCAAGACATCATTCTTTTCTCTTAGCTCTCTTCTTCTTTTCTCTCCATCCCTAATAGTAACTAGCCCTATAAGAGTCAAGTGGTAATACTAAAAACTCTTGCTAATACTTGGTCATAATTGACGAAACTTTGTGCTCACCTATTTTGCATAACACTGTCGTTTTCATGTCCCAAAGTCCTGGAAGAGAAAAGTAGAGAGTTGCGTTAGGTAGCAACAGCCAGCGTAAAACTTGTCGAATAACCATGACATGAATCCTTTTGGAAAAAAAGGATTCGTGTTGCCGACCCCACGTAGTGGGACGAAGGCTTGATGTTGTTGTTCTCACTTTTACTTGCTTGTGCTCTCCGTCTCTATCTCTTGCTATTTATGTGTTTCTCTCTCTGTCTTCATTGAGTAATTTTGTTCATAGTGAGTTTTATCATCCAAAGTTAATGAACTCACCTCTTTCTATCTGGAGCGAATTTACTTTTCACCGATAACCCTCCAGCATGGGAAAGAGAAGAATAGAAAGTGCGAGAGGAAGGGAGAGCTCATAATTTTCTGTAGTTATATAAGAGCATGTCAGAAATTTAAGCACCCTAAAATCACTATGATACACTATCTAGAAAAACTATTTGCTGTAATTTTTCTCAATGCTTTATTCCATCACAATAGGGACTATTTGCTTACATGATTCTATTTACACATCTTAGGAAACTATACAACATTAGTGAGATATATTACAACTAATAATTAGAATAAAATTCATTATATGAAGGCCTTTTAATGCTGTTTTTGTTTTTCAGATTGCCGCATTCAGTTACCCTCTCCTTTCTTCCATGCACCGTCTAGCCCATATTTCTGCCCGTTGTTTCTCTCTCTCTCTCTCTCTCTCTCTTATTGAGGGCCTATAGTTGTTCTTCATATGATTTTCTTGTGCCTAGAGAAGTCAGTTAATTGAGTACAACGAGGTCTGATTTAGGCTTCGTTTGCGACGGTTTTTTTATTGTTTCTTAAAGCAGCTTTTTAGTAGAAAAATTTTAATTTTTGTACTAGAAAGCTGCTTTATGAAGCAATAAGAAAAGCCGTCCCAAACAAAGACTTGGTGTACATCAAAGAAAAAAGATACATACCAATGGCATGTTGAAATTATGAAAGACATGCATTATATAGCATTAACATATTAAATACTTATTATTATTATTATTATTTCTTTACTGAATAATGAATTCGACTGAAAGCCTAATTTACTTTCTGGGTTGTCTTTTCCCTCATTTGTGTTGAATGTGATTCCTATTCTTGACAACAGTGGGCTTCCTTTTGTGGATGGCTACAAATGCTTATTCGCAGTAAATGGATTTTCAAGGGCCCTCCTTCACCCTCGCTTTCCTCCATTTTCATTGGTAAGTTGTTAGTATACGGAGTTTAGCAAAAAATGTGGCTCTTACTGAATTAATAACTACATGATATTGGAACTTAGCATTCTCTTGAATATTTTTCCTCAACTGTTATGTTCCTTCAAATCATAATTATCAGTAAAAGAAATGATCGTTGATTTGGTTCTATTTGATGCAGCTTAAAGAGCCAAAGGTTTTTGTTCATGGAAATATGAGATACAAAGACATTTTCCTTGCAAGCTGGCCAGGTTGTCCATGATTTCATAACCAAATCTTGTTTTATTTTATGAAGATGATATACTGACTTGTGAGATTTTTTAGTCATTAGAGCAGTAAGCTAATTTATTTTCTTAATTTATAAAATAATGTTCTTTCACTACTTAAATCTGATTTGCTCAAAAAAATATTTTCTGGGGTCAAGGCACATAGTGGGATAAAGGCTTGTTGTTGTTGTTGCTGCTGCTGCTGCACAATTTTTTTTGAGATTGGTGTTATATATGAAGAATTTATATTGTATTAATAACAAAATAAATTCAATAATTTATATCATATGAAGAATTTATATTGTATTAATCTCAAAATAAATTTAATAATTTTCAAAATTTCTTTGACACTATGTATTAGGATATTGTGACACTAATAATATTTTTATGAATGGAACTAAGCTTATTCACAATCGTTTGATTGGAAATTATTCCTTGTGGTTTTTGGGTCAGAAAAATGCATATTTTTTATTTTGGTAAATTGGCTACTTTTTGTAGGTAATTATTTTATTTTCTCTACATTGTAATTTGTTTTATATCAATAGGATTGCGCCAATGCTCATCATTTTCACAAAAGAAAAAAAAAATGCAGCCGTTCAAAAATACTATTTACATTTAGGTTTAGTTTGAGACGGCTTTTTTGTTGCTTCTTAAATCAGCTTTTTAGTATAAAAATTTAGGCTTCGTTTGGGATGGCTTTTTTATTGCTTTCTAAAACGGAGTTTTAGTACAAAATTTTTTATTTTTGTACTAAAATTCCGTTTTAGAAAGCAATAAAAAAATCGTCTCAAACGAAGCCTTAAATTTTTATACTAGAAAGTTGTTTTAAGAAGCAACAAAAAAAGTTGTCCCAAACGAAGCCTTAATTTTTATTTGAGATGATTTTTTATTACTTTTTAAAATAGAGTTTTAGTACAAAAATTAGAATTTTTGTATTAAAATTTTGTTTTAAGAAGTAATAAAAAGGCGTCCCAAACAAAGCTTTAGTCAATGAGATTAGAAGAGTGCAATTTTGATGTGGGAACATTTTAGCCTATCTTATGCTTAGGGACTAGTTTATCTCCTTTAGTCTAGAGTCTTCTATTTGCTCCCTTAAATAGGTATAATGTATGGGTTTTGAGGCATTGAATGATATATACACCTTTTGAAGCTTGAAAAGCTTTCTTCTTCTTCCCTGGATTGGGAACTCCTTGAAATCCTTCTTGCAGGTTTGATCTTCCGACGATCCACTACATCAAATTTTATTTTCATTCATTTTTCAATGCTGGAAAAAAATTTGAGTTTATTATATTTAAAAATTTTGCTATATTTTTTTCTTCTTAATCAAATATTGAAAAGAAAAGATAGAATGCTTGCAAATGGAATATAATATACTTCTAATTGCTTTGGAAGCCAATTGGCCTTCCTCCTCTTCCTATACGAGTATTGGAATATTGAATTCCCTCAAGGACGATGAAACAGTTCATGTGCTACTTCTATTATCATTGACCCATTCATTGCCCATTTTATTTGTCTTTGATAAGGAGATGAAAATGAGCTTAAGAACCACTTTCATTGTTTGATAGTTCAGTACTGTAGCTGAGTCCCCTTACTATACAAAAAGAGCCCTTCATAGGCTGCAACTGAATTGATTTTTCTTTGAAAATCTATTTGAAGAAATAGGAAGAAAGCCGTCCCAAATAAAGCCTTAATTTGGGATAATTTTTTATTATTTTATGAAGCAGTTTTTCAATATAATTAAAAATTTATTATATTGAAAAATAATTTTAAAAAATAGTAAGAAAGCTATATGAAACAAAGCTTTGGTTATGAAAACCTTTTTTTTTTGGCATAACTCACGCTTCCACTTGAGCACGCTATAGATAAATTATTATGTGCGGACACCGCAAGATCCTAAGACCAACTAGAATGTGTCATGTCACTCAGTACACAGCGGTACTGAGCGCTAATACTGAGTAAAAAAGTGACATGACGTGTTCTGATTGGTCTTCATACGCTGTTTGGTGTTCGCACATAAAAGTTTTTCCCTTACTTGATGCCAAGGTGAAGTAAGCAATGATGCTTGTTGTTAGCTATTTGTCAATGGCAACGGGCAAGGTTGGCAGCTAGGAAGGAGGATATACCTACTTGCTTGGTTAAGGTAAGATAATTGAAATTTATTTGATGTAATTTTTATGGGAGTAATCATACTAATTATCAACTAAGATTCATGTAAGATAAAAGTGATATTTATGTGTGGTGTATTTAAGTATGTTAGATCTCTTATATATAAAAAATGGTGGTATAAATTGGAATATAATTTTTATAGTTATAAATTATTGAAATGGAAAAAAATGTCTTAAGATACTGAGCAATTAGAGAATATTATCAAGTTAGAAATTTAAATTTTATAAAATTATAGTTATCATATTAAATCTGATTTATATTTGTGGGTTAGTGAGGAAGTTATTAATAAATAAATTGAGTGTAAAATGGGATTGAAATGAAAATTTTAAAATTTATTTGTGGTAAAATCATAAATGATAGATTAAAAATATATTATACTAAAGAAATTGCATGAATAGTATTTATTAGAAATATTTTAAAAAAAATGTATTTAAAAAGGTTAAAAATGAGCTAATAAATTATGTAGATCTAATTAATATTAAAAATATTAGAAAGAAAGAGTCAAAGCAAAGTTAGTATAAATAGACACTAAGTATAAAAATATGCACACAATAATTTAATATTTCATAAAGCACTCAATAGATGAATATAAAAAATAAGAATTTATAAAGTTGACTTAAAACCTAATGATAATGATAATGCTTAAATCAATCTTTATTAGAGTAGATATCCATTTAATTAAAGATATTTTTTTTTTATTATAATTGAATAAGAAAATTTAAAATTTTAAAGCATGATGTGGATTGCTTGTTGCATGAATAACCTTATGTCATCATGCCTGCCATAGCTTTTATACAACCAATTCTTTTGTAACTGCCCACTAAAATCAATGAAAGAGAGCATGGCCATGTGTCACATAGAAATTCAACTTTCTCAATGGCCCTTTTTTTTTTTGAGGTTAGTGGTAATTAAATCATGAACAATTCAATTCCTCACCATAAAAAACATCAAAAGGTCTCATCAAGGGCTATCTAGTGCTTAGATACACATGATTTTACTTTAGGTGCCATAGGAAAGTGTCTATCTCATGATGTTATTAAGAGCTTTCACATCATTTTCCATTAGGTGAGCTTAAGCTTGAAAAAAAAAATTTAAGAATTATTGAATATATAACTTGTGGTATATACATAGATCACATGTTATCCATCCAATAGGCTAAAAGTTTTGTGGAGCCATATTTTCGGCATTATAAGATCACCCTTTTGAATCAATCTAACTTTAATTCATATTCAATTTGAGTCATTCGAGTGTCTTGACTTCCATTAACCTAATTATATATTAATTTGATTTGTTCATCATGATTTAAATATCAAGTTTGACTAATTAATTTACGTTTAATATTTTATTAAGTTTTTTATTTCAATATAGTCAAATGCAACATGCATCAACACATTTAATTAAACACAAACAACTAAATTTAATCATGTAAAGTTAGGTTTATAGGTGACTTTAGATTTTTTTTGTTCTCTCTCTATATCATTGAAATACAATCCACCATATTATCAATTTTGATCCGTTATTACACCATTAAAGATTAAGATATTTCCTAACAAATATTTGCATCTCATTAATCAACCATGAAAATTAGAATACTAAAACATAGAAAATTAATCACACAAAATGTTTTATTCAAATTAAAGCTAAATCAATTGCCCAAATGCTAGAGAATCCAATAAAACTATATTGCATAAAGTAAACATAAAGAGAAGTGAAGGTTCCATAGCGCTATTACTTTAGTCCTTGAGGATTAGGAAACTATGTATAATCCATCATTCAACAAAGGAGGTGGTGAAGCTTTTTCTTTGGTTGTTTTATTGGAGTTCTAAAGTTTAAATATGCACAAATCCAAAATAATCATATCATTTGAATTATTCAAAAATATTTAAAGCAACCTTTGAGAGTGGCCTTGTTAATTTGTCTCTTTATATTCTTGGAGGAGGGAAAGGAGGTGGGTCACAAGGGCTCAAGTGGATGGATGGAGGTGGATAAAGGTGAGGATAAGGAGTGTTTGGAGGTTAATACATGTGATAGAGAGAGAAAGAATGAGTATTTAAGCATAGAGAAAGAGTAATTGCAAAAGCACAATCTACTCCACAAAATAATATGAACATATACCAAACTATTAAAAATTTAATGCGTTTGTCTTTAGTATAATAATTATTCTAAGAAGTTATTTTCATAATTCTCATTAGAGCCTTTAGATATATATGATATCTCATTGCCGTAATCATTAGTTTTATTCTAATTATTTTTTATTGGTTTTATGAATCTCCATTCTCGTGTTATTTCTATTTACTATTATCTAAGACCCTAAATTTCTTTTATATAAATATTTGTGCATAACATTCACTCTTGTTGCATATTTGATATGTCTCTGCTAGTTCTAATTTAAGTTTTTTTGTCAATATTGTATAGTTTTGCAGCATATCTATCATAATATTTTGATTTTTTATGTTCAATTTAACCCACCATCGTCAATCGTCAATCATCTATTCCTGAAATAATTTGTGCATAACCACCATCAACACTAGCCACCACCACCATTGATTTTTAGTTTCCATAACTGTTGGTTGTCATGGACTGATCACCAATTAAATTTGACTTCAAAGAAAACACAATACTAAATCTTCTATATTTGATTTAGACTTACTGAAACAACTTTGAACATTTTAAATGCACTATATTTAATTTACATTATTCTCCATTTTATTCCATTTTTAGCAAATCAAAATAGCCCCTTAAACATGTCACATGCAGGCTTCAATTTTTCTTCAATAATATCTACTGCAAATACATTAAAATTGCTTTACTTATAGCAATTATTAACTCTATTGATCTAAAATATTTTATATTCTCAACATTTTAACTTAACACCTTTTTTAATATATGTCTTGTTTATTAAACTTATACTATCTATGATGAAAAATCATATGCAAAAGTACCTCTCTTTGAATGTTAATTATAAATATTTTCATAAATTGCAATAAAAAA